AATCGCCCCGAGGGCGCTGCAAAACCTTGGGCTCAGTGGCGCCCTGAAAGCAGAGGACGGGGGACCGGGAGACGGCTAAGCCTTGGAGCATGCACTCTTTTGGCTGTAGGTGGGTCTGTCTCGAAGGTAACCCTTTTTGGATGGTGTTGAAACGAAGCCGAGAGGACACCAAACACCTGGAGGATAGTTTTGAGAACCCCCCCAAAGTGGGCAACAATGCCGCCCTGGATTCTCTACATGATGTACTGGAACCCACCAAGCTGTTAGATTGAGGATCAAAATGCAGTTCCAACTTGCAAACTAGACTGGGGGCTCTCAGCATGCCAGAAACTCAAGCACCAGGCATAAATGCCAAGAATCACTGACCCTTCTGCGGTAAGGAGCTGCGGAGATTCCTGCGGAAGATTGACAACACACTCACTGAGGAGGTTGGACTGACACGATTCCGCATTTCGGTCCAAGGGAAGTCTGAAACCACTCGTCAGACTGGCAAAAGCGTCTCTGCTGCGTACGCTCTTCCAAAATAACAAAAGGACACTCACAGTTTTGGAAATTCATTCAGAGAGCTTGAGTGAGCTTGGTTACCATAGTGTAGACAGAGTACTATTTGGAATATGCAGAGCAAATATGACTTATTTGCCCGTATTCTGGTGAGGAAGCATGCTTCGAGCAGAAGCGGGGCAGTCAAGCCTGTTGTGCTGTATGGATGTGATGTGACATGCTTATGGGAGTGGCTTGAGTGCGTTTGTTCGTTTGGTTGGTTTGGCATGTTTGGTTGGTTTCTGATGGCTTGATGGCTGACTGGCTTTCGCGTTTGTGAGTTTGTTGCGTGCGTGCTTGCATGCCATGCGTGCTTGCCTGTGCATGCGCTTGCTCTTTGGGTTGCTTGCTTGGCATGGCTTGGCTTGGCCGGATTGCTTGCGTTCTTCCGTTGTTGTGTTCTTGGCTTCCCTAAAGTGCGCTAGCCACAAGCCAGCCTCGATTTGCTTCCTTTGCCATCGAGTCCTGCCAATCAGTTTGGAAGCAATGCTAGTTCAAGTCCGAGGACAACTTGCTCGCCCAACACCACCTAGTCAAGCCCTTACCCCCTCCCTGGACAGAATGGGGAAGGTACCCCTAGAAAGTTGGCTTGTTGCAAAAGGGGGGGGTCCAAAGGATTTTCTACATCAGTGTGAACCCAAGCGAAGGCAGTCAAGACCCCACCCCATTTGCTTCCTGTCGCGTCTCCCTTCGCAGGACATCCAACAACTCCTCAAGGCCTCGCCTAAGGCGCAGGATGGCTCGGCCGGGAGTCCTTGTGCGGGGTCCGACACGTAAGCCAGGGTGTATGGCTGTAGGTCCTACAGGTTGTTGATATTGCTGTTTTTTGTTTTGCGAGTGTCTTCGTGGCTCTGTGGTTCCTCTGAGTCTCCGCGTGTCTCTGCATGCGGCTCTTTGCGTGTCTATCATACTCGCATCGATATGTTTGTGTGCTTGCATGTCTGTGTGGTTGTTTTTTCTCACTTTCTCAGTTTGCGTGTCTTGGTGCCCCTGTCTGTTTGTCGGAGGGTGTTTGTGTGTATATGTAGCTGTGTTTGTGTGTATGTTGGCGTTGCTGTGTCTGTATTGCTGTGGGTATGGTTGTGGCTGCGTGTGCATGTGCGTGATTGCATGCACGTGTGCGCGTGCGGGTGCGGGTGGGTGTGGGCGTGTGTTTGATTTTGTGCTCATGTGTGGGCGTGGCTGTCCCACATGGCCTTCCTTACAACGTGGCAACTTGGCGTGAGCCGGGTTCCACTTTTTGACTACCCCAAGATAGACTTAGACCCATGGGGGTTTGTTTTGGGGGGTAGTGTAATGAACCACCGTTGGGTTTGAGGCTACCTGGCTGTGGGTCAAAACCAATGGTACCATTTTGGTAGGTGAATTCACCCCCCCATTCCAGTACCTATTTTAGTGGTTGGATTGGTTGATGTTCACTGGGGGCCAACCGATTCGGATTTTAACCCATGGGTTTCGTCAGACCGTGGATTCCATCAGAGCGAGTTCTCCGAAGGTCAATGGTGCGGAGTTCATGGACTGGATCCTCAGCAGCCTGCAGCCGCCTGGAGCTCACAATTTTCACCATGCAGCTTTCGAAGCCGAACCAAAAATTTGGACCCCACTTGGAAAGACAATGGATGGCTGGGTGGATGGGTGGATGGGGGGTTGGATGGTGGATGGGTGGAGGATGTGTTTTGCAAAACCAGGAAGGTGCTGAGTGACGTGCAGCTGTGTGAGAACCCGTTGACATTTGCCGCCCGACACTTGCTTGCTTGCGAGGTGCGCCTGAATGCCGCTCGGCCGTCTCACCCTGCTGCAGCTCTTGATCCCAAAGGAGGACGAATTGAGAGATGGCCAATGTTGCTAGGGGCCAATCAAACTCATGCGCGCAAGTTTGACTTCTGATTGCTACTAGCGAGTTGCAACTTGCAGTTATTATATTTAATCATGTACGACACCTATTCTACGGCACTGCGGTAGTCCTGCATCTTTCACGGGCCATGCCTGTTTGCCCAAATGTACGTCAACAAGCAAACGCATAAGTTATTTGTAATATATACTATGCATGTCAGGGCTGCCGCCTAGTGCCGCCTCCCCCGTAGTGCTAAGCATCACTAGATTGTCTTAAGCAGGCCTCGATACCACACACTTTAATAAGTTGTTTTTGTTTTTTCAGGGGAAACTCAGCAAACCATCAATTTGTGGAAGAGGAACCGCATTGCTATTTAGTTTGCTACTTGCAAAGCATGCCCTATCAACATGGTGCTTATCTGATGCGATTCATTCAGTGTCAATAACATCCATGAGAATCAAACATAGGAAACACAATCCGTCTCGAGTTCACGCCAAATTCAACCGGTTGCAGTTCCTTGTGCATTTCGAGTAAACAGAAAATCGCAGAAAGCAACTATTGACTATTGACATTGCGAGCTGAAGCCAAAATCAGATCTAATTTCATAAGGGTTATTTCCCTTGTCTAAGTTCATTTGAATTTAACCAAGCACAAACTGAGCCAAGCCAGTAGGAGATACGTGTTTGTAAACATGGATCTGCTTCTTGGCACATAATTAATGCTGTAACAATCGGTGATGTTCAGCATTGGCTGAGATCGTTCTCCCCTGGATCAAAGATTGAATATAAAAGAAGGCGTGCGTTTGTCAACCCTTTGTTCTCCACAAAATTTGAAAGACACTTTTCATGATAGACGACAACAGACAGCACGAGGGTCCTGAGTTAGGGAAATACAGTGCAACTCAATGATTGAACAGTGTCCAACATTAGTGCCTGATTTCTATGAGCCCCTTGAATAATGTAGCAGTCAGGTTGTTTACTATGAAATGACATTTATACTGGTAAATAAACAGCCTCAATTTGAGGCCTGAAACATGCACTCTTTGTGTGCCGTTTTGGATCCTTCAAATGTATACTTGCAAACCTGGAGTATTGGGCAGCACCAGAAAATATTCCAAGCAATTCTGGGAAACGCTGTACGTCCCCCAAGACTATATATGAAAGCTATTGCAAGACACAAAATAGGACAGCGAACATATATATATATACATAGATACATGTGTGCGTTCGCGTTGTGTGCTGCGTTGACATATTTCTCAGTCCTTTGCAACATAGCTCGGATCGGCTCCCGAACTTCGTTTTCTTGAAATCGCAGCCGCTCACTTCAGGAGTTGTTTGCTTTTGGTCAAGACAACATGTCTGAATATTTCTTGGCCAGAAATCAAGACTTGCGACATGTTTCCGTTCAACACGTTTCTTTCAGACGCAGCAGGCAGCAAGCGCGCGCCCACCCGCGGACAAGTTCGTGGACCAAGACGGTCCATGAGTGCCAAGCTTGCACTTTGAGGAGATGTTTAGCTGAGTTGTTCCCTTGTGCGCTTGAATATGATTGCCATGTTTGCCCACTGTTAGCCATGTGGCTATGAATTTTAATGGGGAACCACCACAAAAGTGATTGGCGGACACAAATCCCCACCTAAATGATGTCCCTCAAAGAGTCCTTTATTCAAATTCATACCCATGTCTGACTCTGAAGCCGGCAACTGGCTTGTCAGCTCGGCAGATGTAAATGAACCAAACCAGGGCCCGAGGAGTTTTCAAACTCCGCAGGCTGACTGCAACCACTGAAAGGCTCCCAAAACTGGTGAGCCCCATGCAGGATGAAGTGCCAGAAAAGCAGAGCGTGATTTTGCTCCAGTTATTGCGCTGCGTGCGCATTTCCGCCATGGCGGGGACATGTTGTATGCAGAGATAGACGTGATGCAGCCCATGGGCAGTGCATGTTGTTTGAATGCACGATGTTGGGAGGTAGGCCCCCCATGTTAGTCGGCCTTGGCATGCAGACACAGGATCATGCCAGGATACGTTTTAGCCTTCGCACCCTGGCATCAGCATAGTTTGGACCTGACGCATTGAGGCTCAGTCCGAAACTGGGTAAATGTTTGGGTATTGAGTGACCCTCACTCCAGTGGCTGATGCATTTGTCATTTCAGTACGCGTGGGCCAGGAATTCCAACAATTAGGATTTTGCTGTACTTGCCGTTATTACCATTTGCTTGCGGTCGTTGTGTTTTCTTTGGTTGGTACTTATTAAACATTATTGTTGACAGCATGTTGTTCTCGCAGTGCGGGGAGTTGCTGGTTCCAACATCAAGCGCGACTCCTCGCCCAATCTCGGCTGCAGCTTGCAAGCAGAAAGCCACGCTGTGCCCCAAGGAAGTAGTTTGGGCCTAAAGCGAACTATGGCAGAGGAAGGCTTGTTCACTGGTTCAAAGATGTAGATTCGAGATCAAACTGTGCTGCTGTGTTGATATGCGTTGATCAAACCTTGTGCTGATGACACGTCGATTCTCATTCGCAGTCAAAAAATCAATGCAGAAGCAGGCAGATCAACGGTCGCATTCAGGTACAAGATGATTGTGATTCAGCAATATTTCATATGCGCATTAGTTGACATACAGCAGGTCCTTTTACGTAAGCGAGGTTGCTGTGGATGGGCGAGGCTTCAGTCGACCTGGCGAAGGAGCGATGAGACCATTGAACGCCCAGCCCATGTTGCGGAGAGTTTACGTGTTTACAGCATTTCACTGGAGTTAATACAAGACGATTAGCTCCCAAAAGGCCTGCAACGCCACTGGATTTGACTCCATAATTGCCTGAAGTCAGGCGCCAGCGCTCTTCTGTGGGGTTCAGCTGCATAATCAGTGCCTTTGCTAGCCTGAGGGATGCTTCGATGTTTGAGAGCTGAGTGAGTTGATTGATCGCAGCGCCAGGATGTCAGCGAGACAGGACGGCCTTCGGGCTGGAGAGTGGAATTCCCCTATGTGACCTCTTGCTTTGTCTATCCTCATTGCGTTCCTGGACATGTGAATTGTTTTCCAGCCAATCGAGGTTAGGTTTAGCAACAATTTGGATTAGAAGCAATTTTGCAAAAGGTTGGTTTAGCCCTGCAAATTTGGTTTAGCAACACTTCATCAAAGTCCTCATTGCAAAGGGAAGGCCGAGTAGGCCTGGTCACCGACTATTGGACCCAGTGCTCACTCCTTGTGTTGCACTCTTGACAGCTCTCATTCACCACCTGTTGGCTGTCTGGGTGACAACTTGCCATCAATCACAAGCTCGACGCATGAAAGTGCAAGGCAAGCTGCAGAACGTGTCAGCTGAGCACAATTTCCTTTAAGCTACTCAAACAACAGGCACAGGGGCTCTACTTTTGATGGACGGCTTTGAGGAGAATAATGACAGTGAAGCCGGTGAGAAGGGCGACAAGGAGGCAGGAGCAAAGTTAACTTGGAAGAGAATGGCACGGGGGTGATCAAAAGGTCCTTAGCACTTGTACCCCAGTTGCCCAGTGGTTTTCCTTTTATTGGGAAGGGTTCCGCTTTAAAGTCAACCAACCAAAAAAGGATGACCTTTTTTTCCCATGGCCACTGGGCATTTGAGATGCTGTGGACCGTAGTAAAGGCATTTGTACCCGAAAGATCCGCGAATTGCCAAAGAGAAGCGTGATTTCCGCGAAAGATTTCGCTGAAGCTTCTTGGAGGCATGTTTGTGATTCCTTGCCTGTGCTGGGAATGGTGCAAACCAAGACGTTGGCTGGACTAGTAGCTTGTTACTTCCGCACATTGGAGCAGTGGCAAGCGCACCGAATGAGTGATTGCTTTCATTTCATGCTGCTGCAAAGCTGCCAGCGCAAGTGAACAGGGTGAACTGCAGCAGCAACAATGGCTCCAAGGGTGTGGTGATGGAGCTGCAAAGATTCGCGAAACATATTTTTCTGTCAAAGATGCCGTCTGCCAGAAGTGGGAATATGGATCAACTGGTTCTTAGTCGTCTTCACTATCAGGTCAAGGTAGGTTGTGGTGTGTCTGTTCGGATCATGTTTCTGTGTTGCATCCTCTTGCCTGAGTAGCCAAGTCATCTTGGACTCTCTGAACGTCCAGCTTGGCTGAGTTTAAAGATATGCAAAGGATCCCTTGAGACAACTATGGACGCCAATTCGGTCGAACCTGGCTCCAGGTCCTACCTCCCCCGACCTTTGCGCCCCGCTCGGAGCTGCGTGGCCTGGCAACGCGATAGCTCGATGGCTCCCCCCTGCAGATCTCGCTTTTGTGTGCGAGCCAGGTGGGTTGTCCCTGAAGAGATGTCGCACGATTGTCCACTGTGTTCGGCCCATTTGTGTGTGTGTGTGTGGGTGTGTGTATGGGGGGAACAGTTATTACATAGGGGGCCCTTGGTTCCAGTGTGAGTTGCCAACACTTGACTAGGCTTGGTATTGGTTTCCATTGCTATGCAGGGTCGGTCACCAACCGCAAGCACGTGTTCAAGGATGCTTCTGTTCTAAAACGCCAAGAAACTCGGACGGATCATACATTCGACTGCTTTGTGAATGACTGAATGTTGTTTCTTGGTATGGGTCGGGACTTCCGTACTTGAACTTAAAGGGAGTCTCAAAGTGGGCACTGCAAGGCAGACAGTGGGCTGAACTCCGCGAGGACGCGCACGGTCCATGTGAGAGGTGAGGCACTTGCTGAAGACCGAGTCGGGTAGAAGGTTGGAGATAGTCTTGCCAGAATTTAAATGGGTGCCGCCGCCTTTTTAGTTCTTTACATGTCAAGGTTGTGTGGAGGGTGCTGCATTCCGCGTGTGGCAAATAGCGTTTGTGACGATGAGTCAAGTGAGGGAGGGCGTTGAGTTCCAAAGATCCCAGAGCACCCGCTAGGCGCAGATGTAGTTCTTCGAGCTGTGGGGAGGGTTTGCTGTTGGGTCATCAGGGTTGTTATTTTCGGAACTGAATTGGGTGGTTTGGGGGCGTCTGTTGGGTCACCAGGGTTGCTATGAACTGAACTGGGTGGTTTGGGGGCGTGAAAGCCAGTTTTGCCGCAACTGCATGGAAAACATTCCCGCCAGTCGGCCGCTTTGCTTACCGCCAAAGCGCTGCACATTCCGGGGCGGCGGGCTCGTGAGGAGTGGAGCGTCTTCCTGGCGCAGCGGCAGTCCGAGCAGGTGCTATTTTGGCTGGCGACGGCATGGGGGGGTTGATCAAAAGCCGACTTCACATGGGATGACCATTGCGGGAAACCACGGAAAATATTTTTATATGTCCCACCAGGTCAGTTGGGAGCCCAGTCAACCCCCATGTCTTCTTAAATAAAGCGAGGTCGCCAAGAGGCAGGCTTTTTCGAGCCTTCCTTCATCCAAGAGAAGAACTCCAAATCTCGAATTGGACGTATCAATTTGTGTTGGTTCTTCAGAAACTCCGAGGTAAAGCATTGCCAGGATAGACTTGGAAAGCTGCGTTTGTCTATGACTCTTGCAAGTGTTTGAGGTTTTCCCTCCCTCATCAGACCTGCATGGGCCCATGCGGCTTCGGATTTGGATCAACACCTGGAACAAAGGAGTTGTTGTTTTCAAAATTCACTTCGGACCGGTTGGCATGGATGGAAACCCTAAAAATACTGGGATATCAACCACTTACCAACTGCCGGGTGTTGTCCAGTCCTTTTGCTGGGATCCAGGACGCCTTCGTCGAGCAACTTTTGGCCCAACTGCCGAGCCAAGGCAGGGTGAACATAGCCTTGTCATGTTAGCCCGCGGGAAATCGATCGGGTAGGTTTCAGATGCTTCAAACAGCAGGAAGGGCGGGTCAGTGAGGGATGCCAATCGTTCTCAAGCAAGATATAATACATATACATACGTATAATATATAGTATAATGTATATATATATATATATGTTATACATATATATATATATATTGTTATAGACGTGCACTCCAGTTGAACGGTCGCTCTTCCAGGCTTTGTGGCCCAACGGATCGTTGCCGAATGCCAAGCCAGTGAATCTTTGGATGTGTAGTTGAGCAGGTGCATCATTGTTTCGTCGGGGGCTGGCAAATGATATGCCTTTGAGCAGGTGTTTACTACTTTGTCTAGCAGCTGGGGGTGTAGCAAAGCGGGTCATTGGGGTCCATTGCAGCAAGCCCTGTGTTTTTTTTTCGACGGGATGGGTCCATGAGTTCCTTGGAAGGTGACTCCAGCACCGCGACACAGCTGCATTGGATGCTGACTGCAGACGAAAGACAAAAACGTAAACGCCGTGGATTCCAGTTGTGGTTCCCCTACATATGCTCCCACCAGTAAACATGGAACCTGACAGGGGGTCCCCGTAAAAGAAAAATGGTCTTCCAGGACCTCCCTGTCAGGTTCCATGTTCATTGGTGGGAGGGTACCTGGATTTCCTGCGTGACGCAAGGGAGCCGCAAGGATAGAACATGTAGTGGATGGTTGAAAGGGACCGCAACTTCTGTTACAAACTTGTAAGGTGCCCCATCGCAGCAGTGCTGATATTGGACCCCAATGCGTTCCTTTGACGTGCCTTAGAAGTCTTATCCCCTATCTTGGTGCAGAACCTATGCGGAGAGACCTTCCGATCTGCCGGGCCATCAGAAGAATCTGCCTCCAGAGGCCTGATGAGAGCACCTTGGGTTTATCAATCTTGGCCTTGATGGAAGCACACGTGGGTGTTTCTCTTAATTGGGAGTCGCTTAAAATGGTTGGTTTCTTCAGGTGTCAAAAAAGGGTCATTCACTTTGCGAAACTCCTATGCCATCTGAGGGGATGTGCGGGCACTCAAAGTCCAACATGGAGCGAGAGGCGAGAGCTGCGCGTTCTGTGGGATGTCAGCGGCTTCGGGCCATGGTGCCCGTGAGACGTTAGAAAAAGTCGACCATTTCTGGATCTTGCTGCCTAAAGGGCGACCTCTGAAATTGAATGATGTTTGTTGGAAAAAGTAATGTGTCGTTCTAAAGTCCTTGCCGGTCTAGTAGCTTCCGGAGGTCCCTCCTTGGACCACACAAGGTCGCTTTGAAGTCAACTTTGTGGCATCAGGGTGCTGAAGCTTGGCGAGTATCAAGTGGCGGGTTGCCCTAGACTGGGAAGGTTGATGAGAACTAGTTGGTATGCATAAATTGGTGGCAAGGGTAGCTCCCACGACTTTTGTGCAGGTCTTCGAGCATGATTCGAGGGAATCTGGACACAGCTTTGGACTCAAAGGCATGAACGATTTCTTTCCGAACACCTTTTTTGTGGTTGGTTTTGTGGGTCGGTCTCAGGGTGTCACTGGATTTTGGCTGCTGACATCTCTGGTTGAATGGAACGTGTCCAACACCTGAGGATGCGGTGTTTTGGTACGGCTTCTTTCCCTTTCATGTGGGAACCGGCATCATCCTCCGCCCATGCAGTGTGACCCTGAGTGTATGCTTGCAAGCGCTGCGCCATGAGCCCACCAGGAGGTTGCAACTGTTGGCATCGTCAACTACTTGCCCTCGCCAAAGCACGCCCTGCGGGGAGAGAGGCGCGGAGTTCGGTGTGTTCTGGACCAGGGGCCAAGGAAGCGGGGAGAGGCAGAATGCAGTACACTCAGTTCTTGGCATGCTCATTTGAGTTCCATTCAACCCCCCCCCCCCCAACATGTAAAGCATTCAACCCCCCCGCCCCCCTCCATCAAATGCGACGCCGTTGAGCGTCTCAGCCCATAGCCCGTGAAAGTGTTGGCGGACTTTGTCTCTTCAAGACGTGCACTCAATTCTCAAAGACTCTCGTCATATCAGTTCCTGGGTGCGAAGCAACAAGACCTGGCCTTCGGAAGGTCTGAGAAGATGATCGTTTTCGAAGACTTTGCAACCGAAGCCGCCTTGCGAATGAAGCAGCTCGAAATCGCCGAGGACTGCCCACGCTTGTCTCATCACTAAACGGTTTTCGTTTTGAGCCACGTTTGGAGGCCACATCAGCAGCTTTCCCCCCGACACCCAACACCCAACACCTCACAGCATCGCACTGATTGCGCATGTGCTCATCCAACGCCATCCCATGTCTACCAGTAGGATGGCATGCTGTCAGTACAAAGAGGCGAGAACTGTGTTTTCTTGCTTGCATCGTACGATTGGAAGCAGAGCGGCGTTGCAGCGGGCATGAAAGCCAGATGGAGCAAGCTGCCATAGTACATCTTCCCATGCAGTTGCATGCTGCATTGCTTCCCATACCGCTGCATGTTGCATTGTGCGTGCAGTGTCAACTTTGGATAGCAGACATCATGCCCTCATGTGCATTGGTGAAGAACGCCATATTGTATAGAAGCCCAAAGCTGCCATGCCTGATCTTTACCTAGTCCATCCCAGTCCGCTTGCAGCCAGAGTGCTTTCTGCTGAGAGTTTGCCGACCAGATGTTTGCGCTTTCGTGATCTTCAAAGCACTTTTTGTTGTGATGAAGCCACGCAAGCAGTCCACACGTAGCAATCGGCATGTGTTGTGCAATGCGTGTGAGAGTTCAAGGGTAGTCAACTCTCACAAGTCTTACATTATTTTGTTGGATGTGCTCCTACACGTCAGCTGCATCTCCCCCCAAAGACCCCAGTGAAGCTTTAAACGACAAAGAAACACATGCCACTTAGATATGTCCTATGCAAGTGTACTGCAATGTCAGGACCCGAGTGCTACAGTCGTGAAAGTTTGTCTCTTACGCTGTTGCTCCCTTCATGTCAGGTCTTTCTAGGGGTTGGTTTCGCCGTCATGGGCGTCATCGATGACTCAGGAGTCTCATCCAATTCGGCGGGCGCAAAGCAGCAGGCAGTCGCACAAGAACAAAAGCAGCTTGGCCGCAGTCTGTGGCGTGAAGATGGCCAGCGAAGATCTATGGGCAGACTTGAGGTGTGAAGTGTACTTTTTGCCAGATGATTCGCGAGACTCGTTTTGTCACCTGATGACCCCAGGCAAGCAGAAGCGGAGAATTCATGAGCCAGACAGCAAGTGATGTGTTTAGCTGGGACAAGATGGTTGTAAGCTGAATCGCGAACTCAAAAACGCGTATATCACGCAGCTGTCAAAAGCCGAGTTGAACACAGCATGCCTTGTTGTGCAACCTACCCTCCCCCAGACTAACATGGAAGCTCGCAGGACCCCTTTGGAAGACTTAGTTCCATTTACGGAGGCCTTTTGGGAGCTTCCATGTTAGTCTGCGGGAGTAAAAGCGGGCTCCGAACTTGCCCATTCGCCCCAAAGCGACCTGGGCTTGCCAGATGCTCCTCGAAGCAGAAACGAAACATCTGGGAACGTTCAATCACTGGTGCAATACTGTGGATGGACGAAATCCTGCACCACCAGAGAAACCACGGGAAGCCATTGTTCGTTGATTGGAATCATCATTCCAGGGCTTCTTAGGTGGTGCAGGATTTCGTCCATCCACAGTAGGAAATGAGGGGATGAACCCAGGCGTTGGTCCCCTTCAAGGAAGCCATCAGGGATGGTTTATAGGGGTCATTCCCTTGTTCCCTGCCTATCGCACCAGCAGGTTTCAGATCGCAAGTGTTGAACTCCAGGCAGTATCAGCGATGAGGATGACAAGCTCCACTCTGTGCGAGAGTTTGAGCGAAGGAGCGCTGGCTGAACCGCGGTGTCTAGTGGAACGGAGACAACTGGTTGCTGCTGATACAGACTGGCGTAGGTTGGAGGAGCTATTTGTGCGTTCTGTCGAGGCTCACAATCACCAACAGGGAGGAGTATTGTCATATGTGTCACGCCTTTGGCCTTCTTGCTGCGGACGGCACAACATAGTGTGTTCAGCGTTTACTGCATAGTTTCTTGTCAGATGCGGGACCCAGTGTTCCAGCCAGTCTCCGCAGGTGACCCCTCATGTAAGCATAAACTATGCCATCCCCATGCCCTGCACTGATTTCTATCCTAGACTGCCACTAGAACTGCCATCATTCGTTAAGCCTTTCCTTCTGTTCAGAAGAGGGCCATCACGTGATGCTTCCCCGCCCTTGAGATGCACATGAAAGACCAGTGGCGAATATGGAAGATGCCACAGTATCGCTCAAGTGTAGCAAATTAAAGAAACCATGCCCTCACCATGATAAGCATCCAATGCCTTTGTTTGACAACGGCAGACGACAACACTCCAACACTTATCGTCAAAGAGGCTTATCGATACAAGTTGGTCAGGGGCACACATTAGATTAAATAGCATCACTATAGAGGTATATTAGGGATGATATTGTTTGTGCGGCTGAACAGTCGGAAACCATATTTCCCTCATTTGCAATCATCCTGTTCCAACAGCGGGCAATCAGAAGAGCACTACGTGTTGCGATTGGCTGATTGCCTATAGTTTGACTTGGATCCTTCTTGCAACGTGCAATGCAAAGGGGGCATGCTTGCAACACGCTTTCATTTGTTCCACAAAACAACTCAGAGCAGTTCCCTATGGCATTCGCTTCTGCTTCTTCTTGTTTTGAAGGACGTCCGCGCTGGAAAACGTGGTTGTGACCATGCAGAGCAGCCGCAGGCCGGATTTCCGGCCTGAGCACAGGAGATCATGGATCTGTGCATAAATATCGTTAGGCAATTGCATGCTCATTGCCCATCTGATGCAGACATGTTTCTTCTGGATCATCTCTATGCAGTCCAAGCCGTCGTCCCCCCGGCAAAGTCAGAGCTTGAAGCTTTTCCCGCGCGGCAGGCTCCACCATTGGTTTGGCCGAATGCCCTTCGGCTCCAGGCAAGGTGGGATGCATCACTTGAGTCAATGAAAACCCAAGAAGGGGGGTGATCCCAATAACTTGGTGCGGCCACCCTGTTGTTTCTTTACATGGGTGGGCCAGTTGAATGCCAGGACTCGATTGCGACTCACTTGCCGGGCAGTTGTCTCCGTGAGAGAGCTGACTGGGGTCAGCTGCCTGGTGCTAGTGAGCGATTTGCGAGAGCCTGCGCGCAACAAGGGGTCTTTTGACATGAGCACACCTTATCTACGTGCTTGGCACCAAGGGACATGTATTCTATATTGATGGATCTTGGCAGTTTGCACCGGCCGCTGCCAGAATCAATATAAGAGAAGCGTCGCTGCAACAGCTCCACTAAAACCTGAGCCATGGGTTATACAATAAAATCAAAACACGATGCAAGGGTAACTTTTGCGCACCTCGCTTTGGCGAATGCTTTTCTGAATTGGGGTAGTGGGGAAAACACATGATTGGAGGATGACTTACCCAGTCGGAGCACTGATGCCCTTGTTTCGGTGTCAGCAGGGGTCGTTGAACAAGCGCTATGCCAGAATTGCTTGGTGGTAAACCTGGCGATCAATGGGCGCTCAGAGGCAAACATCTCAGACACCTGGGGTAGTCCGCAAGTTCCCAGACTTATGTCAGTCCGTCAACCAGTTGATATGGAACGATATATTATAGGGACCAGATATTTCGATGCCTTGTGAAGCACGCAATGCCACGTCGATGCAGTTTTGACGCGGACTGCGGTTGGTGTGCGGCAGGTTCTTGGAGAGCGTCATCTCCTTCCTGGATTACATGTCCAGCACGGATGCCTAGGTAAGTTGATTGATAGGCTTGGGGATGAAGGAAGGGTGCCAATGGCCTTGTTACGTTGAGCAGTTCTACTAATCGGTTGGTCGAACAGCAGCAAGATAGATGCTAGGGGGGGTGCTATTTGCCAATGATGCCGCGATTGCATGATCTCGTTCAAGGAACTGTGGCCACACCTTCACCCGAAACAAAGAGTTCAAACCATGGCGCGAACAAGCCTTGTGCCATATAATGTCGTATGCCTCAGCGAATCTGCAGACATACCATGGGAGGCAGTGGTTTGGTTTGCCAGTGAATCATGTCGGAGGAGAGCAAGCTTGCCACGCTTCAAACTTATTCAGGCTATGTCTTAGGGGCATGGTAGTTGCATTGTACTATGGGCAAGTTGCAAGTCTAGAATCATGTAAAGGGTGCTCTTGGAGGGTCTACCGCGAAAGAAATCACCTGCTTCGCGAAAGTCCGGCGATGCGCAAAAGGGATACACCCACCAGTATTCAGAAAACAAAGGCTGCGTAAAGTTGTTTCAATGCATTGGGCTGCCACAAAACAGGAAACCCCAAAAGGAGGCGAAGTGCCGGCCATTCTTTCCAAGCACCTTCATTCGGGACAATGCCATAAGTCCCCATTTCAGTTTCTAAGGAGCTTCCAGGTGCTTATCTTTAAACCCATTCCGAATAGAGGCTGCGCTCGATCAGGTCTGGAAGAGCCAGTCGCAACCTCAGCTATCGTCGCAGTGCCAAGATCGATGACACGAAGGTCACAAGGGGCGAGGCGTTGCACACTTTGTGATGGATTGACTTGCAAAGTTCTGGAAGTCCGCTGCAATGATCGACTAAGATTGCATTGAACTGGTAGCTGCTAGGGTTGAGCGATTATTTTTTACAGCAACCAGACAAGGGCCCCGTTCAAACTTGGCAATACGATGTGGACTATGCAAAGCACTTGCATCTGAGGAGCGACACGGCATGTGCAACTGCATTCTCCAAAGCAACCTGTTTTGCACCTTGCCGGCAACTAATGTCCTTGCTTACCCGAGAAGCGGTCTTCGGCTTTAGGGTCTGAATTTCCTTCTACGGTCTCTGCGGGCAAAAATCGGGTGTGTTTGTTGCTCCAAGCTGTTGAACTGGCCTCCAGCTTCGTGCGGCGAGGTAGCTTATGCACCCTGGTCATCTTGGCGACGCGCGGCTGCACTTCGAACCAGCCGACTTTGGCTTCAGGTCGGGGGGCTCTTGCGCTCCTCACCCGGCCACTTCATGAAGCTAGGTGCCAGCATGCCATATATATATATATATGTATGCACGCCTGATATTTGTATGTATATATATATATATATGTATATATATATATATGTATATATATATATCAATTGACATATAATCTACATATATATATATATATTACATATGTATACATATCAAATCATATTATTTGCAGCAGGTACAACCCCGGGGGCCAAAGACGCTTGATTTTGAGCAAGACCTGTCTTGCTCATGCAGCATGGTATTTTTGAGCAATCCCACGAGTCAGCACTTCTGTATGTTCAAATCATCGCATTGGACTGCAATTGGCTGAACATTTTGCCAGCCGAGGAATGTAGTTGTCATTCTCTACACGGCCAACTGGACAATCAGTCACGGAAGCTTTGACGTCCCGGTGGCCACTCGGACCAGGGTTGGACGTGTTTGCCTTCCGCCCTACATGCCTGGCTTCTAGGATTGACGGAACATGCGTATGAGGATATGAGTGGCAACTTAGATGAGGAAGCAACCTGAGCGTTCGGGTTTTCATTCTGCCCAGCTGAGTTTGTGACGGTGCTAGATATCTTCTTCTGCAACTTGGCTTGCAGTCAGCTGTGCCGTCAGCTCCTTGCCCTGGCAAAATTTCCCCACCCGTGCAGGTTTGACTCCCTTTGTACAAGAGCGTGGCGGTAGGAGTTTCCTGTAATTATGGATTCGGGTGTCTGCAGCAGGTGGTTGGACAGGCGTGTCTGCTTTGAGTTGCTTTGTGGATTGATTTGATGTGATTTGACGTGATATGATGTGATTGACAGGTTTGATGGTTGAATTTGATTTGATTGAATTAGGTTGGGTTGACTTGTTTGATTTCTTTGCGTTCATTGATTTGATTTGTTGAAGTATTAATTGGCTCTGTTAGGTTGATTGATTTGGTTGAGTTGTTTGATCGTTTTGCTAGATTGGTTGCATTCGTTGAGTCCATTGATTCGATTGATTCGATTGATTTGATTGAACATATTGAACTGATTCCTGATTGGTTGATTGATCGATGAATGGAGTGATTGATTAATTGACTGGTTGGTTGGTTCAATGATCGATCGATCGATTAATGGAATTCGATCAATTTGATTGAACTGATTCGCTGAGTTATCGATGGATTGATTGGTTTGGTTGGTTGATTGATTGGTTGGTTGATTGATTGATTGATTGATTGATTGATTGATTGATTGATTGATTGATTGATTGATCGATCAAATTGATGTACTGATGTATTGATGTATTGATGTATTGATGTATTGATTGGTGGATTGATGGATTGATTGATTGGTTGGTTGGTTGGTTGGTTGGTTGGTTGGTTGGTTGGTTGGTTGGTTGATCGCTTGATCGATCGATGGATCGGTGCGAGGATAGATGGATGGATGGATTGAGTGGTTGGTTGGTTGATTGACTGATCGATCGATTGATGGATGGATTGAGTGGTTGATTGCTTGCTTGATTGATTTGATTGATTGATGAGTTAAGTTGAGTTGAGTTGAGTTGAGCTGAGTGCTTGCTTGCTCGCTCGCTCGCTTGCTTGCTTGCTTGCTTGCCTGCTTGCTTGCTTGCTTGCTTGCTTGCTTGCTGTTTTGCTTGCTTTTTTGCCTGCTTGCTCGCTTGCTCGCTCGTTCGCTTGCTTGCTTGCTTGCCTGCCTGATTCGTTTGTTCATTCACTGACTCACTCACTCACTCACTCATTCATTAATTTATTCAATCAATCATTCATTGATTCATGGATTGATTGGATTTATGGATTGTTGTGGTTCGATTTGATGATGACTTAATTAGTTTATTGATTGGTTGATTGGTTGATTGATTGATTGATTGGTTGGTTGGTTGATTGATTGATCAATTGGTTGTTTGTTTGTTTTGACTGTACCTGCATTTCTTTTCGTTGAGATTTCATTCCACGGTAGCAGGCACAAGCATTGTGGTTTCTGTTGATATGGTTTTCATGGGACGACGCAGCCGAGTGTTTACAGCTTGGGTAACAACCAAGCTCGATTTGACTGTCTCCAGCTGTTCCATCCTGTGTTGTTTTGCTACAAGCACAACTTCTTTCTAATGATTTGCCTTCCCGAATCGCAAACCGGAGCACTATGTCTGTCAGCGACCGGCAATTGTGTGACACCACACTGGGTCTGTATTTTTTCTGATATTGTGGCGTTGCCAGTGCGAGAGAAAGTTGGCGATATGTTTGGCGGCGCCTCACAAGGCTACCTTTAGCCCCACTCGGCTTCACGAGGTGTCGTGTATCTCATCGAATCCTTGCTGAAGCTGATTGTTCATCGGGCCTACTTCTTTTGGAATGAGGCGGGATGCAAAGCGGCCGCGTCAACCAAGCTTATTGCTCTGCAGCCATGGAGGGGAGGCAGCGCTTCGGTATCCAAGTCAAGTGACCAGCGAAGTGACCAGAGCACGCAATGTGCATCGCGCCAGTACGCGCCCTGGAACATCTTTGACCTGATCTTGGTGATACTGGCTGTATACGATCAAGTACTCGTTTTCTACTGGCGGCTTGGGCTTTGACAGAGTGCCAAGCTGCTGACACGACCTAGTGCATGTGTTGAAACATGTGTTGAGCCCGAGATATCTGGAAGCAAGCACATGTTTTGTTGTTTTGAGTGTGGGCATGTCTCTGTGTGTGTGCTTCATTGGTTTTGTGTACTTAGTGCTGCTTTGATCATCTTGTTGCTTGTGCACCGGACACTCCACTTTGTGGCGCTTGCTTATTCAAAAGATGCAAGGGGTACCTGGCCAGGGGTACCGGCGCCTCTGAATCGACCCGAGGCAGTCCGATGCCTACAGCACAAACATGAACTTCATGAGGTCCGGAGCTGATGGTGTACTCCCGCTTCAGCCTTGCTTGCACACGCTGAGTTGGTCCAGACCGCATTATATACGCCTGTGTGATGTGATTTAGGATCGACTAAGTGGTTTGACTTGATTGGAGGAAGGTTTGCTTTTTCTTCAAAAATGTTTGATTCCGGACAACGCGCCAAAGGGGGAGACGAGGATGCACCACTCTGGCATCCAATCTTGCACCGGCCGAAAGAGTGACATGCGTGTCGCCTCCCTGTTGCCCCTCAGTGCAGCTTGAGGTCCCTACGCATTGTCAAGGTGTCCAGGATACTCAGGCCGCCGATTTCGCAGATCTCTGCAGCTGTTCAATCGGTTGTGGCATGCGCGACTTGGTGCGATTGGCACTGTGCATGTCGTTACTGCTTTGAAAGCGCGAGCAGCAGACCAACCCTGTCTGAGTTGCCATGCCAGGCTGGTTCGAGTTATCCGAGTATTTCGCGACCTTCGCTGCATGCTCTTCTCCATACTTTGGTCTTTCAGCTCTTTGTTTTGGCAAGGCACTCAGTAGCATGTCGAACCAACCACGATTTCACCTGAAGGAGCATTGTCAGGTGCATGTCGGTGGGAATCCTCATCAGGATTTGTCTTCGCTTCCAGCCAATGTTTCCGCTGTGTCCACAGGAAGCAACGACGAACAATGATAAAGGATGACAAAGATAATTTGATCTTACGAGGAGTTTATCCTATTTGGGGTGATTGAGTTTATCACATGGGATCTTTTTTTCTGGTTGCGCTAGCCCTCAACCAACGGCTGAAAACAAGATTGAGGTGGTGTTTCGACCGTGGCTATAATTGACCTGTCGCTAAGGTGCCTAGTGCTCATCTTTTTCGTAATCCTGGTCTTCTCTTTGCTTCTGGTGCAGCCTCTTGGCAAGACGCTTGTTCGACTGAGTTGTTGGGCAATAGCCTGCAAGAACACACCTGGACTCTCCTGGACATGTTTGTCTGCAAAGGCGGCTGGCTGCAACGCGATTGAGGTGAATTCCCTATTTTGGGCAAGACGGTGGCAGATTGTGTTTTGCACCGCTGACGACATTGCTTTGAACGGCATTCACGAATCAACACAGATCATGTGGACCAGCTCGATTTGCCAGTCCGTGAGGATGCTTAACCAGAAGTGGGTTCCTGGCAGGTTGCGGGAGGAAGATTCAGCTTCTAAGCTTCAGGGCACCCGGAATTCACGTTAGGCATGCTTGACACTTGAAGATAGGTTTCCTACAGGCAGAATGTTTGGTTGCGAAACACCGTGTCCGTGGCTGTTTGCGACCTCTGCTTTCAATCAAGAGTGCTTCTAGTCTTCATGTTCAACATCCCTAGTTGTTGTGGTTTGATTCTGTGTAGCTAATCTCATCCTGGAACAATAAATTGTATCGTTCTGCACGTGTTTAAGCATCAATCTGGATATGTGGGCCATCTGTTTCGTCCCAGGATGTGTTCAATATATTCCCCTGCACTTGTTCACACAGTATTGCCGCGGTGTCGATGTTGCAGGGAATTATGATAGCAGTGATAGCCGATTTGTTTGTAGGAAGAGAGGTAAATGTTGCATTTGTCTCCCACGTGTACCGTCCATAAGTCATCCTGAGGCTTGTCACTGAGTACATCATCCAGCCGGACCGCTGCGCTTGGTGGGCTGGGGCTCACCCGCTAGCCGGTACTCGTAAGGGTACAGTGCGAATTGTGTCAGACAAAACGTGTGTCTCGGGGATTTCCGGCATCTCCCCAAAGCAAACGTAGACACTCATATCCAACACTTGCCAGGTCGGAAAGAACGTGCTTACCTGAGCCCCTGCAGGCATGATACCGCAGAAACTTGGTTTTTCCTATGTTGGGGCACGTGTGACATCACTCTTTCCTGATGTATGTTCCCAAAGCAGAGTTTAGCCGTTGTCCTGCTCTTTGTCAGATGCCGCCATGATTGGCATCCATGCATCGAACCACTGCCTCAAGTTGAAGTGACAAGAACCCATCGGCCATCAACCAATTTGTTTCCGAGAGCCAGCGCTTTCCGCCGAGTGGAGCTAGAAATGAGATTCCAGATGTCGTTTTGACGGATTCTGGAGAGGGAGTCCCACATTTGACTTGGGAGCATTGACAAACCTTGTGCTGTGCGGGGCCAACGCGTGCATGCTCCATTCTAAATGGGAATCACATGCTCATGTGTTGAATGGTGCTAGTGAGTTGAAGACTAAGCAGCACCAAACCGTTAAACCTGCAGCGTCAAATATATCTGATCTGAGCGAACACCCTTGAAGCCCAGTCTGTAATTAATTATTAGATCCTGAAGAAAAAAGAAGTATACCACACCCAAGCCTGTCCTGAGCCAACTCTCAATCCATCCTGATTGATCAAGCATGGACGCATGGAACCAACTGGGAGGTCCGCCCTCAGCCAGGCCCTACCCTGAGCAGCCGCAAAGACCAACCCCAGGCCCCTCAACCAGCGTTCCCGCTCTTTGTAGGCTCGCAGTGGAGGCCATTCTGCAACAAACAGTGCCCCAAAGTAGAACCGTCTCGTCATTCTTATCCAAAGGCGCCTTGGACACTTTTCAGATACATCGATCCCCTTTTGGAGCACACGAAATGCACATCACAAACAAACTAGCCATATGGAGTCATATCAGCAATTGTGTGAAATCCTATCTGCGGTTTGCTCCTTTTGGAGTACTAGACTTCCCTTCAATAGGCTTCGGGCTGCGGTCAGCGTCGAAGTGCTTTGAAAGCACTGCCCTCATGGAAACACTGGACCACAGAGCTTGGACCACAGGCAAACTATGCTGAATGGCTTTGCTGAAATACGCATGGCGCACAGTTGATTGCTGCCACTGGTTTGCGAGAAACCGGCTGTTTCGCTTGCCATGAGAGTCCATCTCCGTGCAAGGACGTGCCGGACGAGGTCAAGCAAGAGTTCTTCGGGTATTTCGGCTCTGCTCCGTGGCCGAAATTGGGCTGATTCTGGCCACTCGCTGATTGTAGTCGCGAGTCGGAACAGCATGAGTGCACAGCCAAGCCTCTCCCAACAAAAAATCCTGATTGAAGGATAGATGTCGTCAGACCCGAGACGCACGAAGTTCGGAAACTTGGAAGTTTAGCTCGGAAAGGTTACCAAAATGCATTCGCAATTCCTCAAAGTTCATAGCCCAGGTGGAGACGACCATGGCAACTCTGTACATGTCCAGCACTGGAGGTGTGGACTGGCGAGTGCCCTATGAGCTCTTAGCCCCAAGGCTGCACACGCAACAGCCGTTTCGCAGCAAAAGGCTCTCCCAACGGCGAATCTTCATGGAACCCATGTGGCCATGGGTCAAAATCCAATACCCCCAGTGAACTTCCCATTCCCCACTAAAATAGACTAAAATTAGTGGTGCACCTGCCCCAAAATGGTACCATTGATTTTGACCCACAGTCAATTTAGGCTCTAAACAGAACCCTTTGGTGCCCTCCGACTTTAGTGGGTGTGAGGGTACTCGAAAGGTTCAGGCGGGTTTGGCCTTGCCTTGTGTGACAGCTGTGCGATTTACGACAGCGGCCAGGTGCTGGAATGTGGCTGTTTCTGCAAAGTAATTTGTCATGGAAGCACGCAATTTTGTCCATTGCTGTCTTGTGCACCTGCTCCTGTACCAAAGCAAACGAGTGCAGAAGCTTTAAGATAGGCATAGAGTGCACAGCGAGGAAACGCGGTTTGCAAGCAACGAGTTTGAAATTTGCGGTTTCCCCATGACAGGCAGACGTGCGGGTTGTGAGAGATGCGCTTGCAGACACCAGGCAAATTCTGGCGGACCCTATGTGGACCCTAGAAGGGACTGCGCGTGACTGCGGTTTTGCGGTTTTGCTGACAAGTGTTTTGGGCCACCGAAGCACTCGTTTGAGCGGATAATGTGTATTGCCCTGGACGTGTTTAGAGCTCTTGTTTGCTCTCTTCTGCTCAGAGGTTCTGCGGCAATCCTGGTGGGTAAGATAGAGACAGGCATCAACAGACTTACGCATCAACACACATGGGGCTGTTTAGTGCTGCAGGGCACAGGAAATGAGCACTTACTGTAGGCGTCGAAAGGAACCTCGAGTGGAAGGAATGAAGGAAGGGGAGGAGAAAAGGGAAGGGCAGGGAATGAATACATGCTCCTCAAATCATCCTCAGTAGCATTTAGCACAAATCAGCATATCGTTGCTGCAATCACGGGTTCCAATTTGAGGGCACAACTGACATAGCAAATGCAGGCAAACAAGAGATGAGGCATGGCCGTTGCGTGTTGGTTTTACAGCTCACTCCTTGCCGAGGCTAAAAGTGGCGAGTTGAGCTGCATCGCATTTTTGTTTTACGCAGCTCGGCTTGAGTGTTCGCATGGAGCCAGCCAGTAGGATGCCAGGAAAGTCGAGAAAGCTTGCAGCATGTGCCACAGAGACCGGTTGCTCGCAACTAGCTCTTTGGTTTCATGAGATCTTCCACTAGCTCTTGCGCCATGTTTCGCATTGGCTGTGGGACCTCAAATAGACGGTATTGGCAGATTGGAGGCAGTTTCATGTTTTGAGGCAGCTTTCCGGGCACGCGCAATGCGAGGTAGCATTCTTCGAGTTCGCCGTCTTCAACGTATTAACGGGCGTGTTCGTGGACCACGCAATGAAGGCACGATCCTCTGATACTATCTGATGGTGGGATAAGGCTTGAGATTCCAAGCCAGTTGTTCCTCATGTTTACCAAGCATCGCCGAAGTGGTGTCAGAGACATGAAGCAGGGTGCACACTGCTGCATAACGCACCGCGTATGTGTTTGTTTGTGCGCCTCTCTGTTGTTCCGATACTGTCAAAAAAGCACCCCCTCAATGAAGGCGACCACTGTCAATCACGGGGTAATCCCCTGAGCTTCCCGCCTGAGCAGCGCCGACCTGGTGACAGCCAGCAGAATACAGAGCGAGCACATGCAGACCGCTGGAACTTGAGCGTATCCTCCCATTGCATGAAAGCCTTTTTGGGTTAGCTTTGCTTATCCATGGTTTGTTTTTTTCACTGTTTGTGGGATAAATAAGCCGCCCCCCGGGTAGTGTAGAAGCCCTTTTCAAGGGAAGCGGTTCATTTCAGTCGAAAAGGCAAACATGCGCGTACCATGTGCAGGTGAGCGCGGCAGATCGAGAACTAGCGCTGGCGGAGCAGAAGAAGAAAGAGAAAAACGAGGCGCATTCCAAATGAAGCGTTGGCTTTCTTGTGCCAAGCCTTTGCACAAGGTTCCAATTCTCCTTGTTTGCCTTAGCGCAGGCTTTGCAACGCAAAATTCGATTTGGTAGTTACCCTGCAACGCGTCAAACGTCTCAGTCTCGTAAATCCACTGGCGGAAGGCCGAGCGCCTGCGCGACACCTGCCGAATCATCGATGCGGATGGCAACGGCAAGGCTGGGCATCCGTTTTAGCTCTGCTTGCCCGCATGAATTGCAGCGCAGTTGGGAGCAAGATTCAGCACTGCCCCCGCTGCGGAAACGGGCCCCTGATTGTTGCAGAGAGGCTTCTATGTCGTCAGCTATGATCAGGCTTGCAATGAGGGCTCACAAGCAGGTCCTACAGGCGCTTCGCACCCGAAGTTTGAATCAGGTGCACTTCCAGAGACGAACTTTGGACGGGCTTTTGTGCAAGCGGCCCTTCTCCCGGTGAACGGCCAGAATGTCACCCATAATTTTGGGGGCCCTGGTTTTTTTTTGATTGCCCTTCCTCCCAACATAGCACCTGTGCGGTAGATGAGTTTCCCCTTATAGAGACCCATGTTGGGAGGGAGGGTAAGAGCACCCCACGTTTGTGGCCCATGCCCAGATCTCCTGGCCCGAGTTTCACGCCTTCCTCCAGAACGACTCTGGCTCTGCAAGACGTGTTCAGCAACACACCGATCTGCAAAAGGGTGTGATCAAACGCCAGAAGCTGCTGTGGGTAAAAAAGCGAAGGTGGCTCAGTTTTCATAATGTTGTCATCCCTGAACTGCTGCGAAGTTTTGTCAGTGTGGGCCCTTCGCGGGCCAAATGGTTTCTTTTCGCGAAACTTGGGTACCACAGGCTAGCTGAAATAGTTTTAACTCCACCTTGAAAATGCGTAGCTGCTGGTCAAACCCTATACCTGGGCAGCTCGCCCCCATTGTTTCTCATGTCGACGTGCGTTGTGCTTTGCAGCTGAAGCCAGGTGTCTGGTTTGCCGCTTCAAGCATGCATGTACCAAGCGCTGTCTCCCAGCTTCAGTGAATGTCGGTTGCATCAAGCAATTCAAGCACCGGTGCAAAGCCATTTGAAAGTTTATGGTTCGTTTAGAGAGATAATCCACAAATTCAGCATGCTTCGGCTACCGGAAGGAGCTCCCGGCGCCTGTCAAGTTGTTCAGCCAATGCCACTTGCAAATTTGAGTAGCGAGTCGCGCGTTTGCCGAGGAGAACGGCTACAGAAACATGGCCTCCTTGGGTCTTGACATCTTCGACTCGAAGAAGTTCTTCAAGCGCCTTGGTGCACCAGGCTTGGAAGGCTTGGGACTGCCTGAAAGGGCTGGAGAGTCGGCGCAGCAGCAGTTTGTATGGCTGTGGGTCAAAATCAATGGGATCCCATGTTGGGGTAGATGCACCAACCAGTTTAGTCTATTTTAGTGGGGATTGGGATTTTCACCGAGGGTACGGGGTTTTGACCCATGGCCGTATGACAAACTTTGTCCGCTAGCTTTGGGCATGCCGAAAGCTGAGCCGGCGTGCAAGCGAGCAATGTCAGGAACCTGATGATCATGACGAACCAGCGGGATATTGACATCACTCAGTTCGTGTCCGGCTGCATGAGAATGAAAGGCTGGAGCTCGCTGTGTGCAAGTGCAGGTGTGCTATTGCGTGATCCAGTGGTTTTTGAGTTTTCTGGATTCTTAGTTCAGGTTCACACCTAAACCCAATGCAAGTCTGAGAAAACTTTGCAAGCTTCGCCCTGCCGGAAACGTTTGGCAGCTTGGCAACAAGCACATTTTTCACAATGCCGCTTAAGATTTGCGGAGGACCACGATGGCTGGCTTTTTCCAGGTTTCGCTTCCTGCTTGCAGCTTGTTTCTCACGGCTTCCCCCTGTTGTTCTCTTAATTGGCTCGGATCTGCACCAAACGTGTGCGGTCTGGCGGAGATGGCAAGCATGAGATTGTTTTGAGCAGCAGAGCCGTTGAGCCAGAGGCCATGAGTTTCAAGCGTTCTTACTGCGTGCTGGTTATATTCTGAAGAGGACGCCTGGGGAATGCATTCGGAATGCCGTTTGCTGGGGACATGTGTTGCACTGCAGATTAGGCAAGAAAAGAGCAGAGAGAACCCATAAACCGTAAAAATCCTTAGCCCCACACCCCAAGAACCGTGCAGTTTCGAGCTTCTGGATGTATTGGAGCCTGGCTACTCATTCGAGTGCGCCATGTAGACTGTCACGGAGCCAGTGGTGTAGAAGTTTTTAGGTACTGGTATTCTTCATTTATTATTGAACTGAAAATGCAGCACACACCTAGTGCAAGTGTAGCTCGTCTCGTGTGACTACCCACAAAGCATACGTGTCGACCACCAGGTTTTGTAGATATGAGGGTTTAGGACTCTTTAGGGGTTAGGGCTTTTAGGGTTTAGAGTTTTGCATGTTTAGGGTTTCAGGGTTTATGGTTTCAGGGCTTGGCTTTCAAGTTTTAGGGGCTTAGCTTTGTTCAGGCTTACTAATAGCGCTTTTGCTCCTCGCAGTTGCTTTTCGTGTGATCGTCGTGTGATCGCCGAATGTGCAGGCTCTGCAACTGGAATCTTGGCTGGCATTGAGGTAGAATGCACTATTGCCGTTCAGCATATTCCGTTTCAGCAATTACGTGGCACATGTCAGACGTGTTTGTCCTTCTTCTTCTTTTTCTCCCGACACGTTGTTCTTAGAACTGCATGCGCTAGCACAGGGCTGAATGATCCACCTTTAAACATGAGATGGGTTGGGGGCCACGGGTGAAATTCCACTTTCCCTTTTTTCATTGTCCGTGGGCTAGGTTATGACGAACCGCTGGCTAGTCTTGGATAATTATCCTTGTGGCTTTAAGGTTTAGGCATGTTTATGTCAGAGCTGTCATGTCCTTTTCATGTGGAGCACGCTTGGTGTAGGACCTAGAGCAAAGAAGCGTCACAGGTACTTGCATTTTGCGTGGACTGACGTCAGCTAAAACTTGATTTATTTTCCCAGCTAAGTGCCTGGAGAGACAGCTGGCTGGCGCTAAAGATTTGCATTGCTCAGGCCGAGCGACTGATAAAGCGGATTCTTCGAGCTTCTTTGTTTCAGCGAGGGATTCCGCGAAGTAGTTGTGGAAAGCACTTCTTCGCGGTTCTGCAAAGCAGTTTCTTTGCTTGCATAGTTGGCAGGGAATTTCTTCACAGGGTTTCGGCAAAGCAAGGCTACTGTTGAGCCCTGGTGGCACCTTGTAAGTGGCTCTGCAAATTGGTTTGGTGGGGTGTTCAGAGATGGCGCCCCTTCAATCATTTCAATTGTTCTTTTCGGCTACAGTGTTTGCCCCCCCTCCCCTCCTTGAAAATGGCAGCCACCTTCACCCCCACCCCCCGCCTCCCCAACAAGATGGGGTTATGCTGAATGTAAGATAAGCCTGATTATTGTTTGCGACAGGACTTCATGGTTTGCCTTTTTGGTGTTTGTTTCAGACTGCAATGCTATGTGTGTTGCTCAAGGCGAGCGACACACACTTGTTTCCTATGACAGGTAGCCGTCCACCAATGGAAAGGCAGTGATATTTGCTTTGGACAGAAGTTTGTCAGCAACGCATCATGAATGAGCACGAGCAGCTGATGCTGTGTGGGGCATCAACAAGTGTTTGTACGTGGCACATGTCGCTTGCTTATGCCGTACCGGACAAACCAGGGCTAGTTGATGTTGTAGATTTTAAGCAAGCCCTCAAGTAAGTATGTGTTGTGTCTCTCATCCTTCAATGAGTTGAAGGTCAATTCCACTCCTTGCACATTTGTTGCGACCTGGCCTGTAAGAGTCCCTTTTGTCATGAAAGCTGCTTCATCCTGAAGGTATGTTGCCTGACCTTCACCAGCGGAGATTGTTGCGACATGCACGAAAGGGAAGAGCAACAGGCGCAGCGGCAGCCGTCAAAGCAAAAAAACAAAAAAAGCTTTTCGACTTGCAGGTGGAACCAAGAGTGGCAGCAGGCAGTCTTCGACATAAAATTGGTTTCACGTAGTCTTTTCCTTGTTGTGCTTAAATGACAAAGATACTCAACAGCCACCAGAGCAAAATCAGCAGCAGCAGCGGCGGCGACGGCGGCGGCAGCGGCACCGGCAGCAGCAGCAGCAGCAGCATCAGCAGCAGCAACAGAAACAACAACAAGAACAGCAGCAGCAGCTGCAGCAACAGCAACAGCAACAGCTACAGCAACAGCTACAGCTGCAACAACAGCAGCAACAACAGCTACAGCAACAACAGCAACAATAGCAACAATAGCAACAACAACAACAACAACAACAACAACAACAACAACAACAACAACAACAACAACAACAACAACAACAACAACCACAACCACAACCACAACCAAACCACAACCACACCACAACCACAACCACAACCACAACCACAACCACAACCACAACCACAACCACAACCACAACCACACCAGCAACAGCAACAGCAACAGCAGCAACAGCAGCAACAGCAGCAGCAGCAGCAGCAGCAGCAACAGCAACTGCAAACACCAACACCCAACAAACGAAACAAACAAACAAACAAACAAACAATCAAAGAAACAAACAAACAAACAATCAAACAAAGCAACAAACAACTCACCAACCAACCAACCAACCAACCAACCAACCAACCAACCAACAAACAAACAAACAAACAAAAAAACAAACACACAAACAAACAATCAAACAAACAAACAACAACACAAAAAACCTCCGGACTTGTTTTCGCAAGAATGGCTCGCCGGACTTCGGCACACCATTCCAGGAATAGATCTCCACGGCCTTCACACGGACTTGGAGGGCTTCCAGCGGCGCGTGGACGATATGCAGGCAAGATATTAGATGGGATTGGTCAGTTCAAGTATTCGATGTGCTGTTTGCTTCGTTGGTTCCGCAGGGTGGTCATTTCACGGGCTGGAAAATGTCTTTTGTCTTTTTGGGTAGGGGGTTCGTCTCTCATGCGCTTGGTGGACGGCTGCAGAGTTGTAGAGAACATGTCGCCAACCAAACTTCACTGCTAACTTTCGGGGGCAGTTTGTGTTGGCTCCAAGCATGGTTCTGGCACATGTCAACGTGTTTGCGCGCATTGCGATGCCCTTGTCTCCCAGCTCTTGCATGCTCAGGGCATGGTGGTATCTGCTTTGCGAACAGCTCAAGACCGAGCCATAAGGCCCCTTGGCTAAGTTGCAGGGATGCCACGGGCTCCTGGCTTGAGAACTTCAGCCTCAACATTGCAGCTGTGGTGTGGAAAGATGGCAGGCAAGATGCGTGCCACAAACAGTGTGTCCACACTAAGGGGTTACGGTAGGGGTGAAGGGCCGGGTACGATCAGATTGGGTTACGCTCTTTGGGCCGGTCGTTTTCATCTGCGGGGATAACAATTAATTGAATTGGAGCGGCGGGCTCTTGCAGAAAAGCCACAGCTAGCTGACCCAGTGACAATCCAAAACACGCACTGGATGATGTGTTGGCAGGGTGTGCAGGTGCTGATGGGCATACCGGTTTTTGTAGGGTGTTGTCCGCTTGGAACGTTTGCGCAGTTGAGGTGGAGCTTGCTTCCTCCTGCCCTGCATGGCTGGTTGCTTGCTTTCCGAATTTCCCGAAAAATCCCATTGCTGCTCTCAAACAAGCCGGTGACAGCCAGAATGCGCGGCCTAGCAATCCACTGAGGCTGCGATCCAACGAGAGGCGCTGATGCACTGCGTTTGTGTGTTTTCTCAGCAGAAACAAGCGTGGAGACGTGCCAGAGTCACTGATGCAAACCTCGAGTGTCCCAGCACGTTTCGTGAGGGTATCCTTCTCACCTTAAGTAGAGCGAGAACTCCACCATTCTGGGAGTCCCCATCTTGAAAACAAACTCGAGGATTGGACTTAGCTGTGCCTGCCGTTCAGGTCAAAACTTCGCGAAAAGGCGCGGGCGCATGGAAGTGCGTGAGTGCATGCGAACTTGGCATGTGTGACCTATCAGCAAAAGCACTTCGGCCTGCCCTTAGGCCCTTAGGCCTGCCCTTGCTTTGACAACATGCTGTTGTGTGCCCTGTGCCTGTTCCAGGATGGCCGCACACGCAACACTTGTCATTTTGTTAAAGTGGAAAATTGCAATGAACAGAAACTCACTTCCCCAGTTGTTGGATGTTGCACTTTCGGAATATTAGTGGCACAAAAGAGCATCGGGCCTTTTTGCCGGCCATCCCACTCCAGTCAGGAAAGATCAGCGGAAGGCCTTGCAGCAGAATCGCGTTGCAGGACATAGGCTTTCTCAGCAACGGCAACCTTCAGAGCAGCGCCGCGCTGAGCGACAGGAGCTGGGAATCGTGCAGCCCAAGGGAAGTGTCGAAGTGTCAAGTCGGTTTGGTGCCCATGTGCCAAAAGGACCATGACCCACACAAGAGTTTTGACGTCGCCCACCATGGCTCATTGGTGCAGGTACTGCATGCATGTAAAGCAGTTCTGGTTCAGGTGAGAGGTCTGCATTGCCTGCGTGTTTCACTCGCGAACCCTAAATGTTCGACGCTGCGAAGCGGCTTGTATAGACCGTTTGCGTTGGGATTTCTTGAGGACCTGGGCAGTTCACAGAGCCAGGTCAGCGGGTTGCCAGGTTCAGTTTCACGCGGCGAGTGTCCAGCGCGCGTCTTTTCAACTGGTCTCCAAGTCTCCATGATCAAAATGTATGTTGGATGAACTTGGTACGGCTGTGGACGGAATGCGCGGCCAAGTCGCGTAATAAATGCACAGACACCTCAGCTGGGGCATGCTGAGTGCCATTCAACAGTGCAATGTGTCATGGGTTGAAAGTCGCTTTGGCGTTTGTTTTGTCTCAGTTCCTGTGAAGCAGATTGGCGGGCTCACAGGATTTCATAACAACGGATTGTTTTCCATAAGTGCCAACCCATGGTAATATATGGGTGGGCGTGATTTTGAGGGACCCTTTCACCTTGGCTTAAAGCCAAACCGAAAGGAAAACTGACCGTTTGGGGGGCTCCGATTCCCCATTTTGACATGTCAAATGATTGCGCGCCAGGACGGGGTCCTATGCGGTGCCACCTGAAGGCTTGCGCATGCGTGCAGTATCTAAGTGAGATGAGACCATGCTGGAGATCAATGCCAGGAAACGGCGGGGTGAACAAGATGAAAGGGGGATGGTGGGTTGGAAAGCAGAGCTGTGGGAATTTTCTATTTCACATCTTTCGGGGTTGAATATGCTGCCCTTGTTGCTTGGGCATCCCTTGCAGCAGACTCACGGATCGTGTGGGATGGCTGGCCAAGTGTTGTCAGGCAATCGGCGTGCCCATGCAAGCAACCCTCCAACATGCTGGTTAGGGATGGTCAGAAGCGCCAAATACAACACGCATGCAAAGGTGTTTGACCAAGTCACACGCATGAGCTTTGATAAATTCCGTAGGTGCTCATCGATTCCCGTCTTCTTGTAACATGGGGAAACTGTTTTGGTGGCGTATCTCTTGAGCCTGTTTCACAACGAGCAGATCGACTGGAGTTCTGCAGCACTTGAGCCACCAAAAAGACAAGCACCGGTCAAGGGTGGTGTCGGTGACAGGACTAAGCTGTGATGGGTGTCAGGTGCAAGGGACATGGTGGCATCAGGCAGACTGAAGCCTTTGCGCGCAGGCCGGGCCCGGGGAGGAGTGTTTGATTAAATGGCTGTGGTTGTCAAAACCGTTTTGGGATCCCATTTTGGTTGGTAGGTGAATTCACCATCCATTTTAGAACCTATTTTAGTGGTTGGATTGGGATGTTACTTCGGGGCTACGATTTGGATTTCGACCCATGGCCAACTGTCTTCCCTCAGACAGATAGAGAGAGGGGCGAGGGCCGAAGGCGAGAGAGAGAGAGATAGAGAGCAAAGTTTGCGACTTATGTCCCGAGGCCAAAAAGCCGAGCATATAATATGCAGATCAGGGAGGCGAACTAGCAGGAACTGTGGTATCACAGTCGAATCAAAGAGCATGAATGTCCAAAGCGATCGTGGCTTTTGGGTGGGGTGGGGTGGTTTGGGTTTGGGCTTTGGGTTTTGGGGGTTTGGGGGTTTGGGCTTTGGGGGTTTTGGGGTTTGGGGTTTGGGCTCTTGCTTGTCTAGGGAAGAACCAGACCCCTCCAGCACAGTTGCACGACTTGAGCTCCGGAAGCTGCGAGTGGCAGGCGCTTTGCTGCGGAGTGCCACGGGCCTCAGCCAAAGCTCCAGCATGAGTGCAGGCGCGCGGGCTCCTGTAGGGATTGCCTGCCGGCTGTTGTTTTTCTTCAGGCAACGTTTTTCAGAGCAAAGACGGTGGTGGAAGCATGCTACTAAGAGGCGATACTTGTAAGTTCTGATGCGTTCACCAAGACAGTTGCGAATGTGGTCCAACATTGGGTGGGCAAGCCAATGGCTTTTAATCGCCGACTGATTGGGCCACATGAGGGCCCTTAGACAAGCAAATGTGGACAACATTCGAAGCATTCTTCGGATCATCCAAAGATAGAAAGAGAGAGAGAGAGAGAGAGAAATGGAGCGAGACTGTTCCATTCCTGAGCAGAAAATCCAATGAGCTATGGCTATCGGCGGCTTTGGCTGTCTCTTTAGATAGTGCATTTTTGGGTGGTTGACTCCGCAGCAAGAGACGTGCATGGGTGCGTGAGTATGTGCATGGCTCTGGGTAATTGGGTGGGTGCATGCTTGTATGAACTCTGTGTCTTTGTTGTGTGTGTGTGCGTGGGCAGGTGTGAGAGTGCGTGTTTTGCGGTGTTTGCTTTGGTGAGAGCTTTGTTGGTTGCTTTGGTGTGTGCATGTGTTTATTGTGTGTGGTGTGGCATGTGGGCACCTTGCAAGACTGATTTGGTTTCAATCTCGCAGCCTGTTTGCTGTTTCCATTGCTTTGGATAACATTGGGACAAGCGAGTAATGCGCTTGCAGGCATTTCAACAGGCGGCTGGGTGAAAGAGGACTGGATCATTTCGCACATGATAGGACATTGCTGCAACAATTTGTACCAGCATAGAAGCACCCCAAATGTATGCAGTGATGTGGAAATTGTACCGTTTGCAGTTTAGATCGATTTTGGGCCCTGTTTGTTGGCGACAAAGTGATCCTAGACAGGGGAAGTACTGGGGCACCCAGTCGCAAGGCTGACCCACCTTGCACAGGTTGTCGCGAAAGCACATTCACGACAATAGCCTGTTCACAGAGGTAGATGGCGGATGAGGCAGGTCTCAAGTTGTTGTTTGCTGCTTCACTGTTTGAGATTTCTTTTCTTTGCACATCTGCCTTGTCACTACGTCTCAACGGCAGGGTCGTGTCGCAGAGCTCGCAGGAGCCTCCAGACACCAAGATTCGCATGTGATGCCTGTGGATTTCTGAGGAAGTAAATCTAACGGAAGCTGTGAGTTACGGAATCCAGCTGTATTCTGCTTGGAATATGAAGCGGGCTTCGAATGACTCAAAGGTAACCGGCGAGTGTTCTTCGGGCGTGTGGGCTTCGTCCGCCTCTTCGCAGAATCTGTGCCGGGGCGCATCGGCCACCAAAGGTGACCCGGGCAAGGTCGCCGCAGACCGCCAGAGCGCGCGTTTTATCTATTAAAAAAAAACACGGCCAAGCGTGCCTGGATTGGGGCAAGAGCTTGGAGCGTTCGTAAGAAACCTTTGTCAAGTCACATGCTTCGAGTCCTTTGAGTTTGCTGAACACCCACGTTCGCGTCATGTGCACGTGTTTCCTTCAAGATACCTGTTTCAACAGGAGCAAGCACATGGGCACATTCGATCACATTCACTGTTGTCACACTCTACTTTGCGAGTTGGCAGTTGCACGACAAACCAACGCGATAAGTTACACACGCAAATGTGCCATGTCCAAAGAGCCGCGCGCCGCCGAAGGCGGCGTTTCACTCCAGTTCCGGCCACCTTCGCCCCGAAGCTGGGACCAGGAAGGTGGATTTTTTTTCGAGTTTATGCCAAGCCCAGCGTCTCAACTGCGGGCTTTCTGCCTTTCGGCAGCCTGAGATCCTTGGCCTTCAGGCGGCCCGGGGCAACTCCCCGCCTTGCTGAAGGGAAGACCATGTGGCTGAGGAAAGGAAGCTGCCAGCTGCGCGCCAAAGGGACAAGCGCAACTTTTGGTGGCCCTCTTTTTTGACACTCATCCATCTTGACCGTGGTCATTTTTTCGCGAGATGTTTGGGCCCCATCTTGAGCCCTAAAGCGAAAGTAGCAGCCCCTTTGGACGCTTCCTCGCACGTTTTGCTCGCTGACTCTGCTTGCAGCCGTTTCCACTAAGCTTCCCACGGCCAAGCCGTGCAGGCCATACGCGGGGGCGGTGGTTTTCGAGCCGAGGGAAGCCACTGGACAGAAGGATTTCGGGTTTCCGACGGATTGCGATGGGCCTGTGATTTCGGGTGGTTGGTTTCCGCGGTGAGCGTGTGGCTCTGCTTGAGCCAGGCAAGTTATGACTATTCCGCGGAACAGAGCTGGATGGGAGATAGCCCCTTGCTTGCACCTGGCGCAGAATTACTGCAAAGTGCCTGCGGCCAAAAAATGACATGGTCAACAGTACTTTGTTTGTCTGCTCCCATTCATGGTGGGGCTGTCAGATAGTCAGCATGCCATTTGATTTCATGGCTGAGGTGCTGCTTAGAGCAGTATTGTTTAGTGGAGTAAAGGTCGGACCACGGTCCTTGAGGACATGGCGCAGTTGACCCTAAGTGCTTCTCAGCCGCACGCGCAACACACAGACACGCACGGGCTGCTGCAGATTGTGTGTGGGAATCTTTGTGACGTGACCAAGGCTACGCCGTATCATTTGACAGTCAGCCAAAGCCTCAGAGGCCAAGGTAGAAACCAAGCAGCGGCACCATCATGACCCGACTTGCGCTTTGACGATGGGTAAAGCATGCTAAGCTGCATCGGAGACAATTGATCCCGAATGCAAGGCACGTCCACGAGTAGTGTCAAGTGAGTGACCTATCCTGAGGCCGGGACGAGAGGCGGAGGGCCCTCAGCGAGGCAAGATGAGCAATTCTGCAGCTGTCTTCAGGCACTCTTTGAGTGGCCTCCTGCCTGCTTTGTTAGACTGATTGTAGATATTGTTGCGTCCGGACGCATGCAGCTGCGTGTAACCCATCAGCCAACTTTTCGGGGGTTGAAGGCAGTGCTCAGAATGCAAATGAGTGACTACTGCCACCCCCTCCTTTTATGTAATTTGACAATGCCCCCACTTAAAGCAGCGCTAAATTGTTCTGTTCATGCTTAGTGAAGGGCTTGCAATAGCACAGGCTCGCCGTAAGCTAACAACTGGCGCAGCAGCGTGTGCAAGCATGTTGTTTGGAGTTTCCTACAACCCGAACAAGCTGCGCGGAAGCAACTTGTACTGAGCAGTTGCAACTTTTGAGCCAACTCGAAGCCCACTTTGTCATGTTGGAGGTGTTTCGCAAATCATTTGTCAAATCGGCAAAAGCTCTGCGGAAGCTATCCGTGAGCTTCGGCTTCCAAGCTTGATGCGCCAAAGTGATCTTCGTGTGCTTCGCTTGTACTGCGCAGTTGCGATCTGCGAGGAGCTGCCAAAGGGAACTTTGTGTACAGCTCGCGTATTGAATCGCACGAGCACAACATTTGTGCCAGGAAGGCGTCGCCTAGAGTTCCCGAGTGTAAGCAAATTGTTATCGCAGATGGAATCTATCGGTATGAGCAGCCTGGCATGTGGAATCGGGCCTTGGTTTGACACGCATCAAACAAGCGAAGAGTTGTCCGCAGGTGTCACGGCGCAGCAATCCCATCCCAGGCGCAGTCGCTGCTTTGCTTTTAAGAGGGGTTCGAGACGATTCGTCAGAAAGTCATCCTTAATGCAAGCAGGCGTCAATGGCACCATCGTGTGAAGGCCGGTTTATATTTGTCCCGTGCTTTGAAGATGAGTATGAAGTTGCCCATGTGGTTGACACATTGAACAGGGTTCCTGTTGGGGCAGCTCCGCAAAGCATGTGGGTAAGCCTGTTCATGACTTGAGTATGCCTTCGTGTCAAGTGCGGTCTTGGCAATGTTCAGCGCGTCGCGGATGTGTCTGCAGTGCTGAAGTTTTGCAAAAGCTCGTTTAGTACTTGCCTGCTAAGAGCCAACTTGTGGAATGAGGACAGCTAGTCAGTAGCCACTGCAGCACTTGGGGAACAGACCCGTTCGGACAAGACTTGATTGTTTGTTCTTGTTTTAGTGGAGGCCCCTCCTGGCTGAAGGGTTAATTGAGTAAAGCTGGCAACTTATCCCGAAAGTTTGCAAGCCACCCTTTTGCATGTTTTGAGTACGGCCCCAAACCTTCATGAAGAAAGCTGAAACGAGTCACCAAAAACCTGGGGTATTCGGGGACCGCAGGGTTTAGCTTAGTCTTCGGGTAAGTAGACCGCCGCTTGGATTTAGGCATGTCAAGTTTGAACAAGCATGCGGCCGCTCAAGTCAAAACTGCAGTCACAAGATTTGCCCAAGTCGGATTTGCATCCCGAACAGTTTGGTGGTTCGAAGAAGGATCAGTGCCAGCACCAGTGCCTGGGCGCGTGAGTGTGTGTGTGTGTGTGTGTGTGGGTGGGAGCAGCGTGGGTTTGCGTGTGCTTATGCCTGTGATGTGCCTGTGCCTGTTTGCGCGCGTGCGTGTGTACTTTTGCATGCCTTCTTTGAAAGAAAAGCAGCAAAAGGCCAGAAGTCAGAAGCCCCGGCGACGCGTAGACAGCCCAAGAGATCCGAACCGCATCAAATCTTGCAGTTTGTCTTTGCCCTTGAATTGACTCAACGTGCTTTTTGCGGACACAGGTCGGCGGCCTCTAAGTTCGAGAAAAAGGACACCATGCGCAGCGCTGGCCATGCGCAGGCTATGCCGGGCACTTGGACGGCCACAAAGTGGAGAACGTCTTCGGTGCTACCTTTGGTGAGGCAGGAAGCATTTGGAGCTTGCGGATGACGTGCGTTGTGTTTTGGTATTTTTATTCTATGCTTTTTGTTCAATGTCCAGATTCTCAAATCAACCGGTGACATTGAATGATGCTTGGATTTTGATTGTGGCCTTTGCTTTGACCGACGCGATATTTTCATGATCGGCAAGGCACTCCTCGTGGGCGAAGCTGCCAGCAACCCAGGTTTCTGGCACTGAATTAAATCGCGAGGGACAAATGGGGGGGGGGGGTAGAATGCATGGCGGCCAACAAATTTGTCCAATGTCCAGAAGCAACTGGGAGTTTACAAGCTGTTGTCTGCCTGAAAATTTATGATTGCACAATCGACAATCGATGTCTTAGGCACTTTGAGCTGCCGTAGGTTTGTCAGGGCTCGCCCCTTGCCATATCAACGCACTGGTTCACCATGAATTCCCCCCAAGAATGCCTTCCCACCCAATCGGCTTAACTAGTCCTTTGTCGGAAGTTACGGGCTCTTCGGATAGCAAAATGGAGGGCTCATTCTGTGAGGCGCGATCACGCCGTGAGCGTGGCCTGCTTCCGGGGGATGGCACCACATCCTTACGGAGGGAGACAACTCGCGAGGGGCCCAGACATGCCAAAACATGTCAGCAGATCTTGAACCTAGGCCATGTGGAACATTTGACATGATGTTTGCATTTCGGTTGGGCGCGAAACCAAACTCTGCGAAGGCACCTTCGATACGGGATCCCTGAACTGCACCATGGGCAGCAAGCTGGGACGTGATGAGCCTTTGGCTAAGGCGAGGACTGCGGCCAAGTAGATGTCTTGAGGGTACCAGTTTTAGGCTGGTTTGAAAGGGACATCGGCAGGAAGCACCCCTTTTGGGGGTCTCCTTTTTGGCAGACTATGGATTTCCAAGCTGCATAGGGTCAGGGGAGGAGGTGAAAATAGGATCAGATGAATCAGATGTCACTTGGCTTTCAGGGGTGATGTGTGATTGATGCTAGGTTGTGGCCGCACGACTATGTGTGTAACCCCGTGTACCGTGTTTCTGGCTCGAACGGTGCGAGAGATGAACGGCATGGTGTTAAGATTTGACCCCGAATTTTTAGGGCGAATCAATCCGAGTGGGTAGTCCAAAAATTGTCAGATGCGCATGTGACGCGTTAGAGACTTGGAGGGTTCTTAAATCGGCTTTCAGACGCCATGGCCAAAGCTATGTCTTCGCAGATTGAGGGCCTTGGCTGCTGCTTCTCCATAGGCGCCTTCGGGGCCGCTTGGAGCTCTGTTTTCCTTTTTTTGGGAAGGGTTCCTTTTAAAGTCAACCAGCCAAAAAAGGATGCCCTTTCTTCCCCATGGCCACTGGGCATCTGAGCGGTGGAAGAACCAAATACATATGGCATTAGCGCATTGGTTAGCGCGGTAGCATAAATTTGGAACTGGCGTACATAGTTTTGTAGCCCCATCTATAAAGTCTGATGGCCTGATGGATCCTGCATGGTTGCAGGTTGTTCGAATTGTTGAGCGATGGATTGCAATGCTGCGTTATGTCGCCCATTTGAGAGAATCCTCCTTCCAGCATGAGCTCTACATTCCGATGCCAGCTGAATCAAGTGCACCCTGCGACACTGCCAAGTGCCAAGTCAAGCAAGATACCTAGACACATACCGTGATGCAGGATGCCTGTTACTGTTTCGGTTCCCACAAAAGGACAATCCAGTTGCAATTGCAGTAGGCAGTTAGTAAATATCAATTTACACAAGTTCAGATGGGAGCAATGTGAGTTTCGGTTTGTGTCAAGTAGAATGCAGCCACATCGCCCCCTTGGAATGATTGTCACTTTGGCCTTTCCCTCCGAAACACCTCCGAAACACACACGCAAGGCGTAGCCCACGACCAACACGCATGTCTTGGTACACTGTCTTGAGCAACAACCTTTTTGTGAGAGGCCGAATACTTGGTATAGTACACTTGGGTTGGACAGCAGTGGTTTTTCAGCAACGGCTGCCAAGCTGCCAACGTGTGCACTTTGAGTGCTACGTTTGAGAACGAGGAAGTGGAGGAGGAGGAGGAAGAGAAGAAAGGTACAGGGAAGCAAGGTAAAGACAAAAATAGAAAGCAAATATTGAGAGAAGGAGGGAAGAGAAAGCGAAGAAGAGACAGAGAGAAAGAGAAAGAGAAAGTGAAAGACACGGAGAAAGACAAAGTGAGAAAGAAGGAAGCAGGGCAAGAGAAGGAAGAAGGCCAGTAGCGACTTGTAAGCGGCTGTGGCTCGAAGACCAGAATACCAAAGTGACTTCAAAGTCTAGTCTGGGATTCCTGGAAATGATGTTTCATTTCTCTCAAAGAACTGGGCAGAGACGATCGATGGCTCCCCTTGTGAAGGCTCCCGTTTGGTACCACAATGTTTGAACCAGCACCTTCTTCTGTCCATTGTGGGACGCGGGGTGAAAACGGGTCCATGTCTGCGATACCAAGGCACCTCCCCCGATGCCCCAAGGGACCTCGCCCCAAGTGGCCCGGTTCCAGGCTACGGCTCCGGCATGAAGCCCTGCTGCCTGGAGACGCAGCGTATGACGACGCTGGGCAGCTGCAACGTGGGGCAGCGCATAGGCGGCTTGTGTCAAGTCGCGGCTTTCGGCTTTCGCATTTTTTTCGCCCAGCCTGCCAGTTGATTAGCTTCAGGAACCCCTTTAAACTTTAAAGCCGGTGGACACGGGTGATCTACTTAGGGTAGAAACAGTTGGTTGACGTCTGGCTTCTGGGTGACTTGGCCGGGAGTTGAGCTATCCGATTATCCAGCACGCGCAGGTGGTGCCACCGCCTTTCGCTTGGGCCATTGCCCAAAGACTGCTTCAGAGGCTGGGTGATGCCTTCCAGGGATCTTGATGCTCCCTGACGTAACAGCGTCCGTTTGGTTACTGCCACCAAGTTCTGAGCTGGAAATGTTCGAGAGTTGCACAAAGCCTGACTAATCATGCTTAAGTCCTTGTGCGCCTTTGCACATTTGTACAGCCACACGTGATGCTGATTGCCGCCCTGAAGCACAAGGCATGTGAGCTCCAAAGCCGGCGATTCAATGCCAATAAGTGGTCCAGCAATGCACAGCTACAGGTTTCGTCTAGTCGGTGCATCGATATAGGGGTGGTATCACGCCGCACCACGCCCTTTTGCTATCGTAATTTGGATGAGGTGCTTTCACTTACTATCCCGTTCTGGACCTCTCGAGAAAGATCGGGACCGATGAAGCGTGCATGCTCTTGAAGTTGAGGCAGCTCGCCTTATCGACGAGGGCCTGACCATGGATAGTGTCAGCCTGGCACAAGGCACACCGAGATGGCACCAAAAGAGACACGGAATCAAGTCATTGGCTGCATGACAGTTGCCAGAGTGATTGCCGAGAATTGCTGAGGTCGCCAAGATTGGCAAGTGGGCACCCCCAGAGTCCTGTGAGCAATCAAAACCCGGGTAATGAAGGTTAGTAAGGGACAATCCCAGCCATAAATAGTTGCGGCTGCCTTCATTTCCTTACTTGGTTCTGGGTCAACCATTTTAATACCAGGTTGTGATTGCGACTCATGTCATGTCATGCAAAGGTCGTCAGAAGGCGTGCCATGGCCAGTCCAGGCGGTGCCAGCTGGCCCTTGCCTGGGTCTTGGGGACAAGCAGCTGTCGCGGCATGGTCAGCAGCGGTTTGCAAATGGGGCGTCTTGCACCACTGTGAGGACTGTTTTACTATTTCACCGGCTTTGCTGCTTGTTCCAGGGTGCCGTGTGCCTGCTTTCAAGCAAAATATGAGTGCCCACCCCCGAAACAGCGCCAGCAGCTGGGCTTGAGCATGGGCTGAGCTGGACCAATACACAACTGAGTATTGCCACAAGCATGACCAGTGCATTTTGGGATTACTGCGCCTGTAAACACGTTGGTTTCCATGAAGTCAAGCACCCCGTAGGATTCGAGGGGCGCCTGATCTCAAGAAAGGTTTTTTCGTTGATACCCCAAACCAGTGCCGTACGGGATTTGCACCCCGGACGTTTTCCTCACTCGGCTCCGAGGCTCTCGCTTGCCGCGATCCCCGTGGCTCTGTGGGCCTTGGCAAGGCAGGGCTCGTTCATGGTTGTTGCTGGGAAACATTTTACATTTAGTGGGACATCCCCACTTAACTGCTAACATTTGGATTTTTGCTCCCTTCCAACGTCAACCATGCGTTGGCATTCGTCGAAAGATGGGAGGGCGCATTGGCAAATGGAGCTTGGCAGCTGAGATGTCAGATGCCTCGTGTGCGTATCGAACAAACCCAAAACGTGAAGCTGGGAACCTCAGCGCCAGTTGGACAGACTTCTGCTTGGTGGCTATTTGGAGGTGTTGGTCGAGAAGGCAATGCCTCACTTGAGATCAAACGGCCGTGCAAGGGCCTTGAGCCGGCAATGCAGGTGCAGTTTGATGCCAGGCGGTGTGTTTGTTCAATACACAGTGGCCAAGCTTGTATTCTAGAGACACATCCTAATTTGCAACGAGCTGAGCTTCGAAGAAGGTCACGGAACATTGGGGCCAGCATAGTGAATGGCAAATACATTTGACATTAAACGAATTCTTGCACAGTTGCCAAGTGCACCCCAGACAAGAATTATACTGTTCTCATACGATAGAATCCAGTAATGACAACAGCATGCTGTGGTGCTTGGCAACAGCCATAGTTGCATACTGCTGTTTCACAATTACAATATTGCAAACAAGTATCATATATCATACTGTTCTCATACGATAGAATCCAGTAATGACAACAGCATGTGTTTGACGGCGCAAAAAGTGCTGATGTCTGTTTTTGGCTTTGTCATGCTGGCATCTGAAAAGCTGTCCGAGTAGTCAGGCGATTTCGAAACGGACCTTCTGAACCATGGCTCTTTTCAAGGGGCCTTAATTTCCGACACATTTGGCTCAATTTGCGCACGAATGCTTGAGACTTTAAACGCAATGTCCTCAGTATGTTCTGGGATCTCTCAAAAAGCAAACTTCCCAGACAGTTGTCACGCACATAGACACATCTTTGCCGCACAGTACTATGATATATATATATATATATATATTGGATGTTTGTATTCAGGCTGATGTCACTATTCTTGACAGGTCAAGCAGGATGTGTCCGAGACGTGCAACGCAGCTTGGGCTGAAAGTCGCGCACCCTGCAGCTAGTGATTCACGATACTCACAGTGTTTCTATACTTGCACGTCTAGAAGTGGCTTTTCGAAATCACCGCTTGCAAATTGAAACATTGGAACAACATGAACAAACTATACAAACACGTGTAGGTTACTTGTCTTTGGCTGCATCGCCCTTGCATTTTGTTCACGTTGAATGTTGCATCTGAGGTTGCTTTTAACTTCCTACTTGATAAGCTGAAGCGAAGCTCTTCATTCCGAATGCCATTCGACCAGTTCGAAGCGGATGGCGCTGTTCGGCTGAGCCATACCCTGGACCCACCAAGTACTTGCGAGGCTTTCACACCATGCTCCCGAGGCGCAGCGAGGACCCCTTGCTGCAAGAGGAGGCGGGAAGTGGCCTCGGTGCAACGGACAGTTTGCCATAAGCAAAGTGGGAAGAAGTGGCAGCATGTATGCGTAACAGAAGACAAACGTAGATGCGGGTTTGAGTGTGCTTTGAATTTGTGATGTCTTTGAAACCTCATGGCTAAGGCACACGTTTTGAAAGACAAGTCACTTGCACTCCCTTAGACAAACATGGAAGCTCCCAGAAGGCCTTTGCAAATGGAACCAAGTCCTGGGAGCTTCCATGTCAGTCTGGGGGAGGGTACTGTATGAGGTTGCGTAGATTCCCTGTGCTCAGGCACAGTGACAGGACCGCTGCGCCAAGCTGGGCAGAGGTACAGAGAGCCGCCCAGAGAAAAGCGGCAGCATGGGCCAGGGCATGGGCTGGGGACTGCACTTGCTCACTTGGTCCACCTCAAAGAGGATCAAGGCAAAAAATCCTCAGCTCTGTAGCAGGCGGTGTGTGACACCATTGGTCTGACCGGGAAATGCGCGAACATTGTCACAATGATAGCTGGGGTCCTTGGGTGCTTGCAGGCCTGCAAAGTGATAGGTTGAGCGGTCAAAGCTGTATGAGAGTTCAATTGGATGACGAATAGTGCCCAGCGCTTCTTTCACGCAGTGACATAGTGGACAAAAACCAGAACCAGCTCGGATGGATGCAACCCTATGTTCGTCAATCCACAATATGATTGTCAATTATTGTCAATGCAAGCATGTGTGGGCTGACTTGTCATGAAGAGTGAATGAGCTTGGCTGGATCATCTGAGTCACAATCAACACCCGGGTAAGTGAAGGTTAGTAAGGGACAATCCTAATCCTTCTTAGTTCTTTACATGGTTCTGGGTCGACCATTTTGATACCGGGTTTTGAGCAAGTGACTCATTTGTGGAATGCGCCAGACCGTCTCGGTGTACCACAATCACCGGGGGCATGGCATCCGCGCAGGGGCCAGGGGCTCCAAGACAGCGTGAGAGCCGAAGTCTTGCGATAGGCAGCGAATGAGAAATGGAAGGACCCCAAGAAAACCCATGCAACTGGTGGTTTCCTTTAAGGGGACTGGGTTCATTCCCTCATTCCCTACTGAGCAGCAAGAAGTGCTACTTTGCACTGCACTAAACAAAAAACCCAAGGCCTGTCTTAACATGTTCTTGCAAGGGCTAAGAGACTGCATTGCGCTACTGTCATATATTGATGGTTTTTAAGATGGGCTATGCCTGTTACTCTTTAGACGCGCGACGATCGCGCGTCCAGGAGCTTTGGATTTGTGGGAGACATTTGACTTGCCAAAGAGTTCACCCTGAAGGTTCATGCAATTGCAAGGTGATTAATCGGATCAGTGCTGGGATCCACATAGCCATTGAATAGATTGTAAGGCAACCACACTTTGGCAGCCTTTAACTTTGCGGCTTCCCAGTCAGTTAGTCCTCAAGAGTTGGTTTTGTCGGCATGGTCATGGTCTTCAGCCAGGCTGCGGTGCCAGGATACGGCGGCTTCATTCCCAGTAAGGCCTGCAGCCGAGCCTAAGCTCGTTGCGCGGGGACTTTGCGTTTCCCAGTCGCTGTGTTTTAGGAAGTCACAGCCTGGAACTTGTTGCTGTTTTGCCATGGTGTTCCTTGGCTTAGTTTGAGGCAGTAGAAAGCCTGGATGCAGGATTTGCGAGTGAGGTTGTTTGCGCCGGTATTTTGGCAATTCGTCCTTCACAACGTCAACTACTTAGTATTCCCAATGTTCCTCGTGCACTGAAGGGCTGTTTCTAAAGCTATGACCGCCTGCTGTCCGTTTCGTTTGCGGCACACAGCGCGCCACCTCAAATCATCCTAAATCTGAAACCTAAGCCCTACACCCAAAACTAAACCCAGGCCTCGACGTGTGGGTACCACGGAGCGGGCACTATGGGGGTGCCGGCAACCCATGGGGGCCTAAAGCCTCGCTAGGAAGTCGCCGCCAGCCCCCATCAAAACTTGCCACATCTTCCCTCGCTTGTTCGGAGGTAGCGGGCAACTGCTTCGGCAAGCGCATGGCCTTGGATAACCTCCACGCAACGGAGATGCGGAAGCTGAACGATGAGGCCAGACTGATTCAGCTCTTCGCAGTGCCATCTGGTAATTAAGCCGTGTAATCGCATAGCGCTGATGTATGGGGCCCATTTGCCAGGCATTTGATGGGAAGAGAGGAGGTTACCATGTTTGAAGTGATTGGATGTAAAGCGAGAAGTGGTTGCGCTTGCACAGAGGCAGCATTGGTCAGCAATCCTTAGCAAATGAATGTGGATTGGAGCAAATACGGAGGAATGCTAGAGGCCCTCAGCTGACATCACTTGGTTTGAGTGTGCTTGACGTCGGACTCTTCCCAGGGCGCGGAGAGTCGCACAAACTGGATTGTGGCCTGCGAGACGAACCGGAAGAGGCCATGTGTTGACCGGGAGAGCCTGGACGCAAGCCACATGTGTCGGTTGAGTCTCGCAAATACCAATTGCGTTTGATTGTTTGTCGATTGTTTGTGCTCTGCACCTTCAGCCAAGATACGAAGACAAAGCTGAACCAGTCCTGGCTTAAATTCCTTGGGCACGGGTTTGCTTTTGCTGAGCATTGCCCCGACTTCTGGCCTGGTACAGGAACAACCAAGCGAAACAAGCAAACGGGGAATTGGACACAAAGTGCTGAAAGGAATCAAACAAGCCGCAGAAGCTCAGCAGCAGCAGTGAAGGTGTTTGCAGTCAGGACAGCAGCCAATTACAGCTAAGCATATCCTCGGGTATGGAGTGCGGCATGGATGAAAAGCTTGGTTCAAATGTATCAAGCAGGGCAATAAGCTGCATGGCAGCAGCGTGATGCGATCTAAGATAGCCAACAACTGGGCAAGGCGCTCATTGTGGAATTGTTGTTTTTTCTCTCAAGCGTGCTTGATGCCTGCAGGTTGGCCCATGGTGCTTTTGCTGCAGGGATCCTTAGATGACCTGGATGTTTGTGAAAGGATCCGGCAAAGCATGTGGGTATGTCAGTGTCAAAATAGGCCGACCCAATAAGTTGTTCCTTTTGCTTTCTTTATTGAATCAAGCTGGGAAACGAGTACCCTGAAATATCTAACCTATGTAAATTGAAGTTGTGTGTTCCGTTGTTTCACAAGCACTCCATAGATTCTGAGTGTCGCATGGCCTTGAGGTCAAGGAGAATTTCCAGTTTACACGGGAGGCCCCCAACCGCGATCGAGACGCGCCTGGCTGAGCTGTTGCATTGACTGAACGCAGCTTTCTAGCCTTTTAGCTTTTTAGTGCTCAGTGGTAGATTCCATTTAACCCATTTAAAGCCATGAACAAGTGTGTTTCCCTTTGCCTTGGAGAAGCCTGGCCTCCGGAAACGAGCACGGCATCGCGTCTTGTCCCAGTCCGCGTGGCAGCTTTGGGAGCCCAAGACAGCGCACCAGTGGTCCGGACCACAGCGGCGAGTTGAACCAGTCACAGCGACACATAGACATGGGATGACATAGGGGGGGGGGGAAGGTGTTATTTTTTGTGGGTGTGGTTGTCAAAAATAGGGTAACCCCAAAATGGCTTGCCTTGGTCAAAGGAACCAATGACTACAACCTGCGGTCCCCTGGAGGGTTAATCTTGACCCATACCCTTGTGGCTACCTGTTGCTTCCAATGCTTGCAATGGCGCATGTGCAAGAGTAGTCCAAAGGCTGAAGCTGATGCTTAAAATGGGAGATTGTTGCTGGCCCGCTCGCAGTTCTCAGGATGCGCTACTGATTGGGCATGCTTGCCAGATCTCGAATTGGAGTGATAGACTTTGTTGTTGCACGGTATGCCTGTCATTCCAAGTGGCTTTGGTCAGTTGAAGCAAACGTCACGTGTTTCAGTCTCACTTTAGACCAGTCATGCCGCAGTAGCATGACGCTGGTACCCGAAACAAGCCACCACGCTGTTCCCACATAGCATGCTTGACCGTTTCGGGTATTGCTCAGATTTCCGGTACCGTTTTAAGTCTTTATGACCTGCACAATGCAGTGTCAGAGTTAAGGTCTTCAATCAGTTGGTGGAAGATCCCAGACGTAGGCTCAGCGAGGGCCAGAGATTAGAGCTCCACCGCGTCAAGCAAAAGGAATTTTGCAGAGTGCGATGGTCTACCCACATACGATGTTTAAACAACTAATTACACTTGTTTGATCTTCAATGTCTTCTTCTTCATTTTGTCCATCGTGGTCGTCATCGCCCGTCGGGGATCATTTGGGGGATTGCCTGCACTGGCGGTACCCCGCGGCATTTGGAGTGCACCAATTCTAGTTCGCTTCATGCCAGCATGTTGCCCGCTGCCGTCAGTGCCGTTTGCGCTGACAAGACACCCGTGTTCACATGTTTTGATTCAGGCGGATTGGCGAACACCACATTCGCGACGGGCTCGGCGAACACCACATTCGCGACGTTACATCTCATTGTGACGCGCAGCGAAATTGGAACACGGTCAAACTTGGGTGTGTCTATTTTGAGGGTATCCTTTCTGCGGCGGTTTCAAAGGGGAACCAGAAAGGAAACCAACCATTTTTTTTGGGGGGGGAGGGAACCCCTATTTTGAGACAAACCCGCTTCTGTTGAGGGAACGCCTCGATCCCTTCACAGGATTGTTTGGTTGTCGATCAGCCATCCTACAGCTGCGGATCACACGTGCCACGCAGAGCATCACTGCGGATTGAGCGCGACCCAGACAACGTGGCAGTGCAACTAATTGACAAATGAGATGCAGTTTGCTACATCAGATCCTTTGCAGTGGCCGGATCAACTCTTGTTTCAATATCCAAGTTGTCACGTCTTTTTGTCAAAAAGAAATGAGTGTGAAAGTTCATGTCATTCACAACACGTGGTTGATCTTCAGAGACTTGCGATGTCGCTTTGGAACACGATTGATTCCAGAAGTACTCGCTGACAAGTTGTGCGTTCTATGTGCGCTCGACGAGACACGTCACGTGACACGCGACGCTCATGCTATGAGTCATCCGGTTTGCCGCTCAAGCGCTCGAGCTTAAGGGAGAACGGCCCGCCGGCCCAACTTTCGTGCCAGGCGAGGCTATTGAGCAGAAGGATCGTCGCCCGACTGCTCGTTCCGCCTGCCCAAACTTTGGCGCGAGATCACTGGACTCTGGATGCATCTTGTCCCGACACGGGTGCGACGCTGCAACGCAAGACACGCTTTGCGCTGTGCCACGATGGGATCAGAGCCAGCGCCCTGTGTGCGCAGCTGGGGGCAGGTCGTGCGGGCGCTCCCTCATCAATTCTCTCATGCGGTATGGAATGCACCTGATGTTTGTGCCCGGCAGGAAATCATGCAAACCATGCGAACAGAAGTTGCCCGGGCCTCGTGGGGAGACGTGGCGGGCGAGTCAGGCTGCAAAACGCCAGGACGCGCCGTACAGCGCGACCACCGCCACTCGTGGAAGTCCTCCAAGCGCACCCTGTGCTTGCCGACGGCCCTGATGCCAGTGACTTACACATTTGGCATCCAGGACGCCCCAGATGTGCCCCGCCTGCATGCAAAGAAGGCTGTGGTAAGGTTGCAGCAAGTAGCGCATCTGTTCCTTCAACCCCTCAAGTGTGCCCTCGACAAACTGTTGCTGCGGAACAAGGAGCGAGCAAAAAGCGAAAGAAAGACATCGCGCCCTAGTTCAAAGCCGGCTCCGCTTCAAGCACTTGTGCCACCCCCAGACGCGCGTCCTGAACCACTCCCATCGCTACCCTTTCCCTACCATCGAGGCCCCACTGCGGACTGCACCCCTGACAAAAACTACGAATTACCACCCATAACTGTCACTGCCACTCTCAATCTCTCTCACTCCACTCAGACGTGCCAACTCGGGCTACGACGCACCTGCTCTAGCGGTTCCACCGGCGACAACAGTAGGGCGAAAGACGCGCTTCGCGCGGCGCCCGTCAGCAACGTGGCGGCTCACTTTGACAGCCGCCCCTTGCTTGCCAGGCAGTGCCCCGGCCCCTGTCCGCTTGGACGGCCTTGGCCCAGCGTCCGCAAAGCCCGGAGGCAGCCCACCGTTCGCCGGAATCATGCCGATGGCCGCACGGCACCTGGAAGGCTCCAGATGCGGCGATCCCGGCATTTTTTTCCCGCAGCATTCCAATCGCGTGTTATCCCTGAGTGCACTTTTATGACCGTGTGCTCCGGCGAAACAACACGGGCAATACTGGCCAGTAGCGGCCGCTTGGGCCGTGCCCTCTCGCTGGTGCCAGCAAGCGGCGTAGTGGGCCTAAGCCCCCTCCCAAGCCGCGCAAGGGAAGTTGCGCGACACGAGTGCAGCAAACAGTCTAGCAAGGCGGCGTCATGAGCACAAGCGAGACCTGCGGCAGCAACCGAAGGACATGGTTGCCACGAAGCCTGCAAACCAGGTCAGCAAACAACGGAAAGCGCAGTCCGGGTCCTGCCGAGTCCTTATTGGCGCAAGTCTGAATTGAAGGGAAAAAGAGCAACCAGTCTCGGACTGTCCGGCCTTTTGTTTTTTTCTTCTGATCTGCGTCTGCGTCTGTCGTTACCTACTGAAAAAGCGAGCGCCCGCAGACCGAAAACGATAGCCAGTGAACGCCGAGTGCTAAAAGCAAAAAAGACGCCTAAAGTTTAGGCGCTTTTTTTGAAGCCAAAACGCCGAAAAAACAAACTTGCTTACACGAAAAAAGGGAACGCAAGACCAAGCCCAAGCACCAGCATCCCCGGCATCCCCTGCAACCCCAGCATCCCGCGTTCTTGCTGAGCACCCCCAGCATCCCCAGCATCCCCGAGGCAGGTCCAAGCACGAAACACGCAAGCAGTAAGCAAGCAAAGAGACGCGGAGAAATAGCCGTTTTTTCTTGGACCCAGAAAAGACAAAAAAAAGACACGCAAAACGAGCCAGCTCAACGCAGGAAGCACCTCGCAAAAGCATGGTAAAACGCAGGTTTTTGCGCAGCGAGCGAGCAATTCCCGGACAGATGGAAAAGGCACCCAAATTTTAGCCGTTTTTGTTGGACGCAAAATTCTGCAAATCAGGCCGAGCAGCCGAACCCGCCCAATGGCCGCCTCGTGTGCGGGGGTCTCTTTTGCGTTTTTGTTTTTTCTAGCAACTCCAGAAACCTTGTTTTGCGTTTTTGTTTTTGTTTCGTGTTCATTGTGTTGCGAGGGAATCGGCCGCCTTCCCGCGCCGTTTTTGCGTGTGTTTTTGTGTGTGTGTTTTTTTTTGTTGACTTCCTACACCAAGAGGAGACCAATCCGACCCGTATCTCGAGCCACGTCTCACCCTGAGGGTTGCAACCGTGGCGCTGGTGAGGGGCAGCCAGCTCTGAGGCCCGAGCTTTGGAGAAGGCCAAGCAAGGTTTGCCGAACCTTCCATGCCATCATCAAAAACATACCCAGTACCCATTACCCCGTCCAACGCGCGCCGCCTGCGCTGCGTGCCTCAGCGCTGGCCGGATGGAGGCGCCGCTGGTGGCGCATCCTGGCCGTCGCGCAACGGAAAGCGCTGACCTCCGGCCTGCTTGGCGCGTGGGCCACGCTTGCCACGCCGGCCGCTGAGACCGGGCTGCCGCTGGCGGACGTGCTGCCGCGCGATGGCCCGCCGGGCCCGAGTCGTGTTGCGTTGCGTGGCTAGGCGCCCGCAACCGCCCGCCCCGGCGCTGCATGGCGCTGCATAATAATTACCCACCTCAATCTTTCGTTTGGAAAATCCTCACTCGCAAGCGACCCCTTGCGAAAAATATTTTCCGAGCCCGCGCGCGGATTGGCACGTCCTGAGACAGGCCATGGCGGCATTCACGATGGCATACGATGGCGCATCTTCGAACCCTGCGACACCAGCAGTGCCGCTTCACGTTCTCCTCGTCGAAGACGGGCGTTTTTTGCGCGAATCTTGTCGGATTTTTTTTGCAGTTCTGAAAAGGACTCTTCCGGATGTTTCCGGAAAGTTTGAATTGTCCGTGCGGCGCTGCGCGCACGCCTTCCGCCTAGCATTGGGCGGAGCCCCCAGCGTTGCTCGAGGCAGCCCAGCCGCGACGCTGGCGTCCGCCCTGCCCGTGCTTGCACGCAGCTGCGGCGGTTATCAGGTCCCCTTGCCCTCGTCATTTTTGATATTTGCTTTGTTTGCCCGCGCAAAGCAGGCGGGCTACCGGCCCAAGATGCCCAATGACACGTGACAGGAGACGTGACGAGAGTCTCCAAAAAAAACGAGACGTGCCCTGCGCTCCTTCGCCAGTCCCGTGCGGCGACGCAGCGCTGGAACTTCCGCTTTGGGGCGAGCCGCCGCTTGCCTCGTGTCGCACAGGAGCTTTCCGGACCACCATGACAGCCCTGCCGCCGCCGTGATCCGCCGTGGTTTACCACCGCCGCCGTCCAAGCTGCGGCCGTTGAAACGTGTGTTGCGGCGTCGCGGCCGCGGCGCGGGCAAGGCGACCGGGGCCGGCGAAGTGTCATTGGCGGCAAGGCCGCGCAGGCACGCTGCCACCCTGCTCAGGCTCAGAATCATGGCCACCCCCTTAAAAATGGAAACGGAGGGGGGGGGTGACGGCCGAAATTTCATTTTCCAGTTCCATTTTCGAGTGCCTTCTCAGGTTCTGGACAACGGGTGTCCCAACTCAAGCTTAGATTGCCATTTCGACGTTGCCTACGATTTGCATTTGCATAATCGGCTAAATTCCGGGCTGCCCTCAAGCGGTTCAGAACCTACGAAGAGAGAAGTGCAAGCGCAAGGGACAGACTGCGTTTGCGTTTCGTTGTTGGGCTT